ACTAAAAAGTAAACATTGACAAACGAAAATCAATTCTGTTCCTTCAACGTAGCTTAACCTTGACTGACATGCCTGGTCAACCTTACAGCCCGAGTAACTGCAAGTTTTCAGGTTTCAGGATACATATTTCTTATTTTAATCGTGAGGGTGGTACTCCCAAGGAGGGTTCCATTTTCAGACTTCAGGCAGATAAAAGAGTAGGGATTTCACTAGTTGAAAAATATGAAGGGCAGAGAAATCGGTCTTCTCGGTCTGTAAGAGGAACTAAAAGGGCTAACTGATGTTTTTTTTTCTGGCTGACAAAAAGTCAAGAGGACATCTTGGTTTGGCCATGTATTGATTATTTAAACGATGGTGCATTTACAGCAGTTAACAGGGATGCAGCATTCTTAATTAGGTACGTGAAAAGGGTACCTTTTGCCAGTGGAAGGTATACGATTTAGGGGTACCTTTTCTGTTAAAAATGGTATATAAAAGGATAAGGGGTTGGACCTCTGGGCAGAGCTTCTTCTGTATAATACTTTGTTGCGTATCTCCCCAGGGTTTCAACTTTCCATCTTGCAAAGTAAAGAATAACTTCAGATACACTGAGACAAAGTGAATTGGTTTAATAACATAAAACAGTTCTTAAGTCTGACTTAGCTCTGAGATTTAAGTACAAGTAAAACTACCAATGAGAAATACACAGTATAGAGGGGTAAAATTCTGACAAGCCACATGACCTTGAAATAGCAACATAACACTGTCAGATGAAATGGCAACAAACAACACGAAAGATGGGTGGGAAATTGAGACAGTCACAAGGAAAATCCCAAATACAATAGTGAAATATCGAAAAAAGACATGGCCTTCTCTTCAATAAATGAAATGTCCACCATTAAAATTCAGAATAGAGATATACATACCCCCAGCCCAGCCCCCCCGCCTCCCTCAAAAAGCCTAAGTACCTGCTTACAAATACCCTAGAGGTTTGGCTATAAGTGCTATTTTGTGCCAAGAGACTTTCAGTTTCATCAGAAAAATACAAATAATACACTACAATCAGTGACACCTACCTTCCTGTCCCAGTTGCATTCCATTACTTTGGTGCCACTGTAAATAAAACAGCAAAATAACATATTTTATTTTCGTGACAATGACAACGAGGAGTCCTTCTTGTGTTAATTGTTTTCAACTGTACAATTTGACGAACAATAAACGACTGTATAACTGTGGCAATAGACAGATTGAAAAGCACTAATGACATTACGAGTCTTCACCCAGGGGGTACTCCCTTACAAGAGGCTAACAGGGATGTGCTGCTGGATGGGATCGCATTTTCACAACTGGAGTGACTATAATGGGGTTGCAAATAACACGAAGGCTCTCCCCCAGCCTTCCCTACGATACAGAGAGGCCTCTGCGGAGGAGAGAGACACTCAGGTAATAGCCCTGTCACGTTTTTCATACACAAAAACGTTTTGCTGTCCTCTTCTTCTGAGTTCCCATAATCAGGTGTTTGCAGGGAAGCGCGCCGACAAGCATTTATCTAGCCTGCTTGTTTATCTAATTCTTAATATATAGATTTAGCCAGGGTTAAAAGCAAAGCCTCCGTTATAATAAAAGCAATTAATTTTAAACTAAGAGACTAAGTCGATCCTCCCGTAAGCGACCACCCAAAATGCAAAGACTGAGTGGTCGCTTACAAGAATCGGACCACGAAGGGTCTCTTCCAAGAAGACGTTCAGACACATCTATTTTATGGAAAACTGAATTGCATGCCATGTCTAAGCTACGCCATGTGTGCATGTAGTTCCATGTTGTCACCAAAGTTCTTCGCATATTCTCACTAGCGTAGTGCACACAGCGATAGAGATCAGAGAATGTGTCAAGTGGTCGCTTACAAGAGACTAAAAACAATGGAAAATCATTAAACGTCAGGCCGAAAAAGTGGTCGCGGTCGCTTACAGGAGGTAGTCGTTTACTAGAGGTTCTTACTGCAAGAATTTTACTGGGAAAATTTTGTTGTTTTGGATAGGCGGTCGCTTATGGGAGGAGGTCGCACATGGAGGTTCGACTGTATCTATATTTATAACACAGCGCGCGTGCTTGCCCTATAGAAGTCCTATTGAGCCGCTATGAACAAAATCTTTATTTACGCACGCCCGTGCGTAAATAAGATGACGTGAGCATTTTTTTTTTACCTGGCTGCAAAGTTGTCGTCTTTTAAGCTGCAGTGCAGTTTTCCTTCTCTTTAAAATATGGAAGAAACCAGCGCAGAACTGCCCTATTTTTCGATCGGCATTGAACTTTTAGGTCCTGGTCCAACAAGCAGCAAAAATAAAACCGAATTAAAAAAACTCGCAAGTTGCGCGTTTCGGAAGACCAGCTGCAGCAAATTTTAACCGAAAGACATTCACTGGGAACAGAACAGACACCAACTGGTCATCAACAACATTTAAAGGTAAAATTTCCGTTTTTATTGTTGTTTTCAAATTTGTTATGCACTTTTGTTATCTCCGGACAATCCGACTGAAGCAGGAAAATTTCTCTCGCAATAACAACACAAATTACACAAGAAGACATAAATTTATTACTCACAGAAACAACTGTTGCCAGGTCTTCTCAGGAAGCCGTAATGATCAGCCAATGTTCGTAAATGAATATAAGTTTAAAGAAGGATGACAGTTGTCTTCGCTAAAAACATGTTTTCTGGATTTCGCCGAGCAAAACGTAAACATCTTTTCAGCAAACCATACTCCACGACTTCTTACGAACATGTTAGTATTTTAACTTTAGGTGAACTTTAAGACTCTTTTACCATTGTTTCTGTTTAGTTTTTCCATTGATCGTTAACGAATAAAGAGGCAAACTTTCTTTCTCAGTTTTACAGAAAGAATATTTTCACGTAAACTTGACGATTGTGGCGTGTTCGTAATCAGCCAATAGAACCGTTTGTTATTGTGTAGCGCGTTACGAGAATTTTGCAGTTAATCAAAGGGCTATCTTTATTAAAGATAGCTTTAATAAAAAAGCAAGCATTTTTGTCAGCTATGTTATAAAAGAATTTGCTCATGCTTTTAGCTGTGCGTATATCGAGTTATGGATGCACTTGGGAAGTTTGGAGAGCACTCAAGAAGCTAGAGTTACACTCGGCTATCGCCTCGTGCAACTCTTACGCATCTTTCGTGCTCTCCAAACTTCCCGCGTGCATCCATAACTCGATATACGCACGCTAAGCATGAACAAATTCTTAAATTATATATAGTACTCAGTAGACAGATCCTGATTGGTCATTCTTTTCTAAAGCCCTTTAGACTGCGAGCAGTCTCTCTTTTTCTTCAGATTTAGTAAGGGGAGTGCACGTGCGCGCCAGCGTTTGAGAGAATAGGGGACAAAAAGCTCTCTAGGGGAGGAGGGGAGGAATTCGTGTCTATCCATTCCCTCCCGGTCAGTCAGTACGAGTGGTCAGTCAGGTCTTGCGTTTGCTGACGTCAAAACCAAATTTTCTCGAACGGATAAGTGTAGCAATGGAGGCTCTACTATTCTCATTCGTGTAAAAGCCGCTGCGTGACGATTTAATCAACTAGATTACTGCGTACTCCCTTGTAAAGCAGTCTATTGGTCCTTTACGGTCCCAAGAGAAATTCTCTGGGCTTTTTATACTCCCTAGCAAACAAATTCGCCGTCTTCTCGCAAGTCTACTCTACAGCGGGCAAGCAAGTTTCCCCACCCTCCTCCCCTTCAGCGGCGCTGGCAAATTTTCTCTTTCAGCCCACCCTGTGCCTTATGCAAATTAAATTTCTCACCCATAACTTATTTATCAAAAGGCATAAGGTGGCTTTTATGCGAATGTGAATTAGTTACTATTAATCTTGGAACGAATTTCCCCAGAAAATTTCAAAAAAAAAGTTTTTAACAGGTCCTTTTTGTATAAGACGAGGCGCTGTGGTCTAGGAGTCTACCAAGCAAGCAAGCAATCGGGTTTCGACTCCCAGCGTAACACTGCTATAAAAAATATTAAGAGGTTATTATCATTACAGTTACTAGTTATTAATATGAAATTAAAATTTCATATTTAAATCTATTAATCTTAATTTTTAGCTTAACATTATTCGTGGGATATCTGTAAACTGGCCGTATCGAAAGGAAATTGCCACAATTTAAATTAAGTGCATGTCCTATGTCCTACATCCTGGGTGCCAGAGGCTTTTCATGCGCGGTTTCCGGTTTCGGTTTAGCCGAAGACTAGTCGGCCTGCGGCCGACGAAGCTCCTCGTCGCACGCGAGAAAAAAACCTCTGGTACCCAGGGTATATGTCCTACCACGCGGTACGAAATTTAGAGGGGGGGGGGGTCTAATTTTTGCAATTTTTCCAGCGATCCATAAAAATAAGTTTCCGCAAACAAAAATTACCGCAAACATTTAAACATACAGTACTAGGAAATCGAGTCTCTTAAATTACAACTTGTCTCTTTCGTTCAGAAACAAAGCGGTATATATACATTCCAATGAAATACTGGTTTTACATAGGGTACTTACACGCATCCCTTAGTATTGTTTGAAAATCTGTATTTCTATTGCACGTACGTACTCAACAAAAATGAAAGTATTATCAATGTGTGTACTGGGTACTTTCTGAAAATCGCAAAAAATAATAATTCTCAGCGAAAAAACAATCTGTCCTAACAGCAAAAATCGGTTCCCGCAAAACACAAATCATCGCCAATCCGCAAAGATATCACTCCCGCAAAAATTTCGTGCCAAAGAAACTATACCCTCAACCACAATAAATTAACAAAAAACAGCAGTGTACAGCTACTGCTTCTTTATTATTACAGACACTTCTTGGAATGCTGGTATGACAACCAGAAAACAAAAAGTACTAACCTAAATATACCCCGTATCATCTGGTTACATTTACTTCATTTTGTCTGTCTATTTCTTTAAAGTTTCTTGAACTTCTCATTTAACCTTTCCGTAACAGCTTTAGTGAATCTAACACACAAGAAAAAAAAAAATATGGAAAAGTAATTGAGCTGCTGCTTCAGTTACGGCTGTGGGGGAGCCACCTCTTCTATGTAGATCTTGGAGACTGAGTTCCAGCCTGTATACGCGTCGCCAGTTTTGTAACCAAGACCACACTTACCGACCCAGAATCCCACGCGGACCGTGCCCTTATGGAGCTTCTCGCAGATTCCTTCGATGTGACGTGGGCGATGTGGATTCTTTTTCGCGTTAGTGCTATGATACACTAAAAATACACCATCAATGGCTGCCGGGGACGAGCATTCTGCACCATTGAAGGTAAAGTACCACCGATGGCAGCAGGCGTGGCAGTTAGTGACACGGAAATCGCCATTCCAGAAGACTCGCAAGGCTGTATTGTCGGATGTTTTCTTGAAAATACATTCCTATGGAATGATTAAAATAACGCCTAAATTGAAAATTCATATAGTGGCCTAACGGCCTGGTGAAGCTTTGTGGCGTTTATCTTCTTCCTCGTTACCTGTATAGTAAATACGGATATCAGGGATTTTTATATCGACCAATATTTAACATGGTTGCTTATACAAAAAGGCATCTGTTTTTGCGCAGTATGACATGAAAAGGCCGCGTCCGAGGCTAATAAATGACATGATGCTATAACACGTTGAGCTTCCTGATGATTGGTTAGAACATGTCTCAGTTGACCAATAAATTGTCAGCTGTTTCCCCTTGTTGTACTTCAGGAAATTTTTTAAAGACATGGCGAGAAATGTTCACTGAGCTAAACCTCGTATGTATGGCGTTTAAAAGAGCTTTCATGCCATTTTATTGGCTCTTATTAATTAATCTTTGCTTTCTTACTCATCTGTCATCTGTACGCTGTTTTTTTTCACGTCTGAAATAACGCTTAAATTGAACATTTTTATAATGGCCTAAGTTAACGGTCTCGTGATGATTTGTAGCATTTATCTTCTTCCTCTTTTCTTTTTTATCTGCCAATGCTTTAAAAAGCGTATAGCTTTTAATCTGTGGTTGTATGACAGTGCTATGGTGCTATTCTATCTATGGTTATATGACTTACTTCCTAAAATAATATTGAAAGAAATTTTAATTCTGAGTAATAATAGCCTTTAATGAAATGTAAGATTAGCAAAAGGTATGGCTTAAAAAAGTGTTGAGTTGAATCGTAAGTTATTAAAAAGTTAGGGTTCGTTCTAGAGCAGTCTTTAAGCATCAAGACTTTACTTTCCCCAGTTCAATAATATTTATCCGTGTTTATTTGCAGGAATATACGAAATCTTGTCAGGGCGATTCACACCTATATCCAAAGACAAAAAGCGTAACAGTCAGTGGCATAAATCTATTAAGAGTTAAGGTGGCCCGATACAGTTTTTCAGGGTCAATACCTCCAAAGTTTGAGCATAAACTACGTCGCCATAAACAAAGTTTTGGAAAAATTGCCAACACAGTTGTATTAGATAAAGATGAAAAATTGTTATGATCAGGGTTGCAACGACATCAGAGTTGTCATAGCAACGAAATGACGCTATTACCTATTTCACTGCAGCAGTATATCTCGGCACTGGGAACTGTTCTTCCAAAATCGCTCACAGGAGCTTTTTCCTCCAATAGCTGCCTCGATGTTCGTGAAGTTAAAGCGAAATCTGTAACAGCGTTATCGAGATATTTTGGGATAAAGATTTTGTGGTTAGAAATACGGTAAAAAATGGACAATCTCTATGTTCGGCTGTTATCTGTAGAAAACGAAGCGCTTTTGACATGCAATTTCACCTCATAGCAGTTTCAATCTTTTTAAAAACGCGTGTGAAAGATCATTTAGATAGCTCCAACCGATTGCTAGAAAGAAGGGTTTGATTAGTATGTTTCGAAGCGCTCTTGTTAGCGGTTTTGTAAACATTTTGGTCTTCTTTATCAAATTAGCGATTTATTTTTAAACCGCTCGATAGATTTTTTAAAATATTTAGGGTTCTTGTGATTAACCTTCCTTTCATACGACCTTTTAGTTTCAAGGTTATTGATACATTGTAAGGCAGTAAAATAACGGATACAATTCGCTACTTTTTTATCGAAAGTTTCGTCATTACAAGAGAAAGCCTCTCATTATTCAAGGCATTGTCTCCAAGTTTCATTTTCACGTGAACAGCAGTAACTAACAATGCATTTGACATATGCAAAAATGCTAGCTATTGTTGTGCACGAAAATATGAAACTTGGAAACAATACCCTGAATAATGAGAAGCTCACACTTGTAAACACAAAATTTCAGCCAAAATTTAGCGAATTGTAGCCCTTATTTTACTGCCTTACAATATATCAATAATCTTGAAACTAAAAGGTCATATAAAAGGAGGGTTAATCTTAAGAATCTTAAATTTTAAAAAAATCTATCGAGCGGTTTAAAAAAAATTTGCTAGTTTGTTAATGTAGACTAAAATATTCAAAAACCGCTAACAAGAGAGCCTGGATACATACTAATCAAATCTTTCTTTCTAGCAATCGGCTGGAGCTATCTCCATGATCTTTCACACAGGTTTTTAAAAAGATTGAAACTACTATGAGGTGAAATTGCATGTCAAAAGCGCTTCGTTTTCTACAGATAACAGCCGAACATAGAGATTGTCCATTTTTTACCTTATTTCTAACCACAAAATCTTTATCCCAAAATATCTCGAAAACGCTCTTACAGATTTCGCTCAAACTTCACGAACATCGAGGTAGCTATTGGAGGAAAAAGCTTCCGTGAATGATTTTGGAAGAACAGTTCCCAGTGCCGATATATACTGCTGTAAGTAAAATAAGTAATAGCGTCATTTCGTTGCTATGACAATTCCGATGTCGTTGCAACCCTGATCACAACAAATTTTCATCTTTATCTAGTACAACTGTCGTGCCAATTTTTTCAAAACTTTGTTTATGGCGACGTAGTTTATGCTCAAACTTGGGAGGTATTGGCCCTGGAAAACTGTATCGAGCCACCTTAAGTGCTTACCTTGATCAAACCATTGTCTCTGTTATCATTTATACTCTTAAATACACACTGTTTCCAATTACTTCGGAGGGTTCCCTGAGGACCTTGGATACCTCGAGCACCTGGTTCACCTTTGCTTCCTGCTTGACCCGCTGGTCCCGAGGGTCCTGTGTCTCCCTTAAATCCTTGCGTTCCTTTGTCCCCTTTGTTTCCTGTTGGTCCCTTTGTTCCTTTAGGTCCTTGTTTACCGGATGGTCCTGCGGGTCCAGGGCGTCCTGGGATGCCCAGTTCACCTTTGTTTCCTGGTAGGCCCGTCGAACCCGAGGGTCCTGTATCTCCTTTAGGTCCCTGCTTTCCACGAGATCCTTTATCACCTGTGTTTCCTCTTGGGCCTGTGGGTCCTTCAGGTCCACGATTGCCAGGTGATCCCGCGGGTCCAGGGATTCCTGGGATCCCTGGAGTTCCTGGTGAGGAGCAGCAAGCACTCTGACCACATGACCCAAATGACGTCTGTTGGGTACACTATTATTAATGAGCATAAACGCATTAGTTGGTCAATAAATCAGCAGACTAACTGCTTTGACTAACGGAGAAAAGAAAAGGCCTGATAATATTTGTTGATTTTTTTTTATTTGGTGTTGTCGCTGTTACTTATATCATAATACGACGTCCTGGAGATTGGAATTAGGATTAGAATAACAATGGGGTTGTTGACTTCTGGGAAAGGATGTTTTATATGTCCTCAGGTGAGGGGGACACACAAGGAACCGAGGAAGACCAAGGACGAGATGGAGGGACGACGTTCATAGTTTCCTAAAATATTGTCACCGTGTCGCTCAAAACGTGGTTCAGTGGAGGTCAATGGGGAAGGCTTACGTCCAACGACGGACATTCAACGGCTGAAACTGAAACTGAGGGGTCGGAAAATTCACTTTAGTAATGCGCAAAAGTTTCTTGAACTGTACAGCTTGCTTTACAAAAACTTCAATGCCTTCTCCTCCGTTAAATTCCGCATTTTGTTGTTATGGTTAATCAATTCTCTGAGTGGCGCGTACGATGTCGTGGTTCTGAGAGCTCCCGATGGAAGAACTCATTTCTGTGGCCAGTTATTGGATTCGCTAGTGACCATATTGCATCCTCTAAAAGAAGAAAACCTCAAATTGCAGGTTTATAAGCCCCCTCAGTTAATTATAGGACCATCTACCTGTAAACAACAACAAAGTCCGATTATAAGCCCCCGGTTGTAAGCCGCTCCTCTATCTTGCATTGTGATGAATTAGATCTCTTGATTCCAAATATTATGAAGTTTTGAAGCTTGATTTAAAACCACTAAATTCAAAAAGTACTTTTATTAGCATTGCTATAGCTTGTTTCGAGGCGCTTTTACTAGTCCGACCGGTTATAATCCCCCTCAGATATAAGTCGGCCTCCAATGATAAACCCTCCTTTTTTAAACCCCTGACGAAGACGTATAAGCACAGAGCTCACAAGCGGCAGTTTACGGTAATCAGGAAACGTGGAGATTTGATGGATCTGTCAAAGCAATGGACCAGAAGTTCGGTCAGAAATAGAAATTCCTAAATTTTTTTGAATTAATTTATAATATACCTTTTTCCCAGATGTTTTGTTGCTGCTGCTGTTGCTTTTCGTGGAACACAAAGTACTAATCAACAGTGCGTAAATCGCGATGTACAGTGGTTGTTTCATACCGCTCTCTTTGGTTTCGTTTTATCTTGGGACCTGGAAAAAAGGATAGCATGTTAAAGTGTAAGTCACTGAGTGACACCATATCATTGATAATGCACCGTGTTGGTTTCTACACACAGAAATATACAAAGTTTTATTATTTCAAATATCAAAAATAACTGAAACAAATATTTTAATTCATTATAATTCTTTACTTATTAAAAAAAATATATTAACATTGAAATAGATAATCGTATTCTGGCTTGTATTGAATGATTTTCATTTTAAAAATATGAAAAAGCTTGGCATTCTGAATAGTCCATCGGCCTCGCGAGTGCTCGCGGAGATTTTCTGCAAGCTTGAGCTTTAAGAAGTTTTGCCCAGCAAATATCGGCGCTTCTGGCCTTTCTGTCGGCTCCTTACTGGTGAACCTACTTACGCCATTCTAGCCGAGTTTTTTTCTTCTTCTTTGTGACAATCGTATTTAAATGTAATGATCTTAACTGTACTTTAGAACTTCCTATGACTCAAGCACTAACGTTGTCTGCAATTTATCTTGTACTATTTATAATGGAATGGGAAATCGATAAATAAAATAATTGAAATGAAATAAATGAGTTTTTCAGACTTTTCCCAAGTTTAATCAAAACCAATCAAGAAATCATGCTTTGGAAAAAAATCGAATTTAGTACTAACCTTTCAGTTTTAGTGTTGCTGCAGTCCGATTCTAGGAGCTGAGATTAGAGTGAATATTTCTGCTCCACCAAAGAGCTATTTATCCGTACTGAATCAACATTACATTTTCATGTTACAAACACGTTTGAAAAGATGTTACGTGTGCAGTAAATAGCAATGTCAGGGATTTTTACATCGACCAATAACATGGTTGCTTACAAAAAGACATTTGTTTTTGCACAGTATCAAGAAATGGCTTGTTCGACGCTAATAAATGACACGATGCAATAACAAGTTGAACTTTCTGATGATTTGTTAGAACGTGTCTCAGTTGACCAATGAACTGTCAGCTGTTCCCTTTGTTGTATTCAATGCATTTGTTCAAAGATAGAAGGAGAGAAATGTTCACAGAGGGAACCCTCGTATGTATGGCATTTGGAAGAGTTTCCATGCCATTTTAGTGGTGGCTCTTATTAATTCATATCTTTGCTTTCTTGCTTTTCTGTAGGCTGCTTTTTTACACTGAAAAATTACAATAGCCCCATATCAAAGAGGTCACACCATAGCAGGTCCACTCAGTATACAGACGCAATTTACAAGTGATAACTAAAATTTCTTCATGTTCCCAAAATTGACTCTGAAATTTTAGGCGGGAAAAGGAGACTCTTAATACCATTCTAAAGGACTGGTTATTTTTCTCTCCAATTTTTCTTGGTATTTCGAGGCATGATATCTAAGAGATATAAAGTAATCCTAAAACTAAAATTTTGAATGGGTGTAGCTAACCATGCAGTTTTCGACCCGAAAAAGGGCAATGTTTTAAGCTTCCAACTGAAAAGCTTAAAAACTTCTGAATTTCTGAGGGTTTTTGGAGAACGGACCTCTTGAGCCAGAGTAAAGATTCCGAGACATGTAAGCAACATTTAACAACGAGACTTAACCAGTGACGGGCTCATAGTCTTACCACTTACTCATTTCTTCACTTTAAACACATTGACTCAACTTTACTTACCTGAGAAAGCGGCTTGTTTGATATAAAATTATTTCTGTGATTTCGAATTCCCGCGTTCATTTCTCCTTGAACTAGTTTAAGAGGCGGTCAATTTCCACCTTATTGACTTCATCAACGCTGTTCGGATATAACAAGCCCCACCGCCTTATTACATTACGAAACAACAACGGTGACGGACGGAAACGTCCAAAATACGATGCTAAGAAGAGGCCATAATAACCCTTTCATTCATTGTTGTATGAGTAGCATATTACCCTCTTCCTTCTGAGCGTTTTCTTTTTTACTCCAGAGTGTAAATATTTTCAAACTTAGACTCGCTACACACAAAAATGCTAAGAAATTGTAACTTTTCAATTACAACTTGCCTCTTTCGTTCAGAAACAAAACGATTAAAAAGACGAGCAAAACTGTCGCTGGTTTTACAGGGTATGGTACGAACACCGCAGTATTCTTTAAAAAATATGCATTTTTGTTGCACGTTCCCAATAAAAACAAAAATCAAATATTATCAATGATTTGTACTGGACTTTCTGAAAATCGCAAAAATTAATTTCCAGCGGCAAAAAAACCCAATCTGTCCTAATCGCAAATAGTAGTTCCCGCCAAATACAAAAAAATCTCCAATCAGCAAAACTAAACTTCCGCAAAAATTTCGTGTCACACGGTATGCATTATCAAAAAAAATATTTACTCAATGCTTCCGTTAGTGCTAAAAGAATGGAAAAAACTCCATTGAGAAGAGGCTTGAAAATTGTAACGATATATATCAAAAACAAAACTGCGCGCTTTTACCTTTTTCTGTAATCCTTCTCTCGTCGTTGAAGTGTTATAACCACCATTACATTTTCTTTTTTTGCATAATAAAGTTTTCGAGAGAACACGTTTGTAAATCGTCATTAACACTCACAAACTACGCAGGCGCGGATCCACTCCGGTTTCGATCAATTGTTTTTATACTGATAAATATATTTTTAATAATAATAAAAAAAATTTCCAAGTTGAAATCTAGAGATTAAATAATCTGCTGATTTGCTAGGCTTAACTGGTCAATATCCTTCCTAATAACTCGGGAACTCAGGAAAAAGGACTTTAGGCAGTTAAAATCTAATAAGTTTTAAGCATGGCCAGTATTTATCCTAGATCCGCGCCTGCTACGCTTTGCCCTGTCTCAATAATGACTGTACAAGCCCAGTTGAGTGAGGCGTAATTAGTCGCAGGCAAAATTATAGGAAACCTTAACTGAACGATGTTAGGATGTGATGTAACAACGACAGCAAAAATTGTCCCACGTACAAATCAAGTTCCCACCCACCGCTTCCGCAACTTTTGATGAGCAAGGACTCAGTGTCTCGTGGCCGTCGCGTCGTTGGATCTTAAAAGTCCATAATTATAACTGAAAAAAATTCCTGACACATAAGCTCTTCATTTCGCTCTAAACCATCGCAAAAAGGCGTTTATGATTTGATGACGTCGAAAGCCGGTTTACTGAAAAAAAAAAAAAAAAAAAAACGGCACGTTTTGCTACAATTCGCCCACAGAAACGTTCCATAGCAAAAATGGCTTTTGGTCTTGTAGCAAAATTCGTTTCCAAGTTGTAATATTTTGGATAAGTGATTAAGATTTTCAGAAAAAAACTTCAATGAGCTATTCACCTTTTAAGTATTTTACCCAGCACAGGCACTGTGTGTTGGCAGGAGACAAGCAACAAGCTAAAATCGAAAAGTAAGAAGACATTTAAGATAGGACCTTAAATTAAAGAGAATGAGCTGAAAGAATCCTAAATCATTACGAACCTAAATCTTCGGTCTCGTCGATCCTTGTTTGCGTTAACTTTTGCTGATGACAAACTCCAAATGTTAATTATAGCTCTGATGGCGTTCTCGTCTTAACAAGTTTCACTACTCCATGGTTGATCAATCAGTTCAACTCAGAAAGATCCGTCTTTTATGTCGTCGATCATTGCTCCATTGTTTATCATGAATAAAAAAAGATTACTCAATTTTAGGAATAAAAAAAATCTTGAATGTCTGAGAAAAAGCTAGGTTACTCTAGCTGCAGTCACATAAAACCTAATCAGGCAAACTGCTAATTTGTGGCGTGAGGATCAAGAATTTGACTGGCTCAACACCAGAGATGTCCGAAGTAAGGATTTCTACAGATGGCCCCAGATGTCTAAACTGAAGAAACAATGACCGGTCTGTCGATGGCGAAAACTACTTTCTTAAAACAGGCTATAATTCGCAGACGTTTGTACAATTATAAGAACAACAAAGTGTCATAGAGGTTTAGGTAACCTCAAAGCGGAGCTCTCATCCGAGAACAAGTATTAAAAATTATTAAAACACATTTTGGAAGGGAGAGAGTCACGCAAACTGTTGTTTATAAGGAATAAAAATAAGCCTATAAGCTAACACGATGGAAGATAGACAAGATACGTCGGCATGTCTTTTTCAACCGGGTATCTATTAAGTGCATTTTAAACCTCATAATGTTATCGGGTGTAATGAGCTCTAACATGTACAGACTGAGGCTACTTTCTTTCAATCAAGAACAATCTGTATCGCTCTAATTATCAGATAAAATAGCTTGCGTAACAAAAATTGATCAGTATGCTGTAATAGAACTAGAAACCGTGAGAAAAAAAATTGAAAACAAATTTACACTGACATCGTTCAATTTGCTACTCTTGCTAAACGCGCTGCAAAAACGTTGAATTAAATTTTAGTAAGTAAATTTTAGTAAAGCGGGACACATCACTTAGCCTCGCTATGGCAGTTAGCCTATTAAAAGGGCATATAACACAGAAAAAAACTGCTATTCTACTTCATTGCAATTCCGATGGTGAATTCTTGGAACACTTCTTGTCACAGTAGTCATCTCTTCAGTTTCATTGCAATAGTACAGGCAATCTATTGTTAGTAACAAAAATATACCGGCAAATAGCTAATGTTAGATTGACCTAGTTGTGATAATGAACATAAATGGACTTGTTCCTTAAAAGCGAGTATTTTGATTCGTGAAGGTTCCTTCTATATTTACAGCGGATTTACACTTTCGTAAGAATCACTAAAACAGTCGTAACAAAAGTAAAGGCCTACGAGCCCCAACCAGCTGACACCACCGTCGAAGATATTATGATTTGAAAGTCAGTGATTCACTTGGTTTTGGCAGGGAGCACCCGAGAGAAAAAAATGAGATGATGAAAGGAAATTTTGTCAGAATATATCATATTAAAGGATAACTTACCGATGCCGGTACTTTTGCTGTCACACGCGCGGCAAAATTCATCATCATCATGATCAAGTCGAGTCGATCTCAATCGGTCTAGTGCAAAATTAAAAAAGACATGAAAAGCAAGATAGTTGGGTGAAACTACTAAAAACATTTATGAGGGAATTCTCCACCCTACTCATCACCTCCTCAATCACTGCTTTTTGTTTCTTTAGTAAACTAAGAGAATTTATAATGACATCTCGGCATTGAGTACTGAACGAAAAGACATGATGGGTTTTACTCAGGCAGTTTAATCGACCTCAGTAATCGATCGTTCACGGTAAGAATTGACTAGAAGTTGAAATTATATTGCTTGTAAAATAATCCAAGGCCGGACAAACGTTCTACCTGTACTACTATTTTTAATTGCCACTGATTAACATTAGTTGTGATCTTCGACTAATGATTACTGGTCCTTACACCCTGGTGGTGATAAACGGCGTAGGTATTCAAATATTATTACACTTGAGATTCCTTTCCTTTATCCGTTTAGGTGTCATTTTTTAATCAGCAGCCTCTCTTTTGGGATATCGCCGAATCGGCTCAAACTGAACAAAAATGACTGAAAAAATAATCCCATACTTGTACCACGGCTGGAGGAAATATAAAGCTTTTTATGCAATTTTTAATACAACCGAGTGGCGGCATCATTTGACTGCACGCAGTGGGTGGTACATCTCACTGATTTAATTCGCAAACAAGAAACATCACTTATTCAGAACTATGTCTAATAATACGTTATAGAGTGACCACGTGAAATAGGTAGTAGAATACTACGCACTATTACTACTTCTCCTGTCTTCTTTTGTTTATTTGTAGCTATTTGGCACTAGTTGCTATTAACTCTTTCACGAGTCAAGTAACATCGCTCTGGGAAAATGAAGGATTTTTTTTCCCGCTTTCATGCTGATGTGCTCTTAAAATAAACTGCTTTCTCACCTTGACGTTTAGAAAAGCTCAAGTTTATCGTTCCATAGCTTACCAAAGCAAATGAAGATGCCCCATTGAAGGTATCATGATTTTAGCCAGCGGTTCATTTTCTCTAAATCTAAACTGTTCAATTTATGCGTCTTGACTACAGCTCGAAAATAACGCACAAATCCACTTAATTTTTATTCATGATGTTCTCGTTTGATCAAGTCTTGTAAACAATGTGCATTATGAATTAGACTAAACGCAATTTAATTATTCTAACATTTAAGTATGCGTTCGATTTCGGGCCTTATCAATAAGTTAGCAAGTTAGAAGAAAATTATCACGATAGCGGAGGCACTTGGGAGGCAAAAAGTTACACAGTCAGCAACTTTAATCGATGAAACGTTTCTGGTTTCAGTGAGTCCATTTCATTTATTCTTGGTTAATTGAATCATTTCTAAACAAATTTCGCAAGCAATTAAGTTAGCTTGAAATTCATGTTTTAATGTTCTAGACTAGGCCACAAAGTTCACTGGAGCGTGATCAGTACTTGTCAATCAACCATCTAACAGTGCACGCGACTGTCTCGATAATGATGTCGTTTAGAACGCTCCTGTCAGACCAGGGGCGAAGACAAAAAGGCAACGGGAGGGGGAGAAGGAAAGAAGGTGAAAAAGTCCTGCACCCCAGACCCCAGATTTTCACTTACAACTGCGAGTTATCAGTAGCCTGCGTAGCCTTGATGAAACGAAACAAGCACGTCAAATCAGTAATATATTTTGTTCTTAAAGATTTGATGAAATGAAACAAGCGCAATTAAGATGTTAGGATGTTGCTGCGAGAATGATAAAATTTCGGGCGACATAACTCTGGCTTCGGGCGACTTGACCGTTATATGCTTCTGGTCTCATAAAATTACGTTTTACATTACTATCTATGTGAGTTATGTGCTAGTCAGCAACAGGCCAAAAAGAGAATAGCCTGCGTAGCAAGCGTTTCCAATCGTGTTATTGCGCGAAAGTTAGAGCGGAAGCTAAAAAAAGGTTCCTGCGTAGCAAGCGTTTCCAGTCGTGTTATTGCGCGAAAGTTAATGTTTTTTTGCTCTTGTCCCAGCTTTCTAGACGAACCTCGCGAGGAAACGCTTGCTACGCAGGCTAAAAAGAGAAATAGTTAACGTTCGAAGGCAAGTCTCGTACTCTACTAAAGGTAGCCAATAAAAAACCCGATATGAAAAAACATGATTGAACCCGACGAGCGTGCAAAGATCAGGAAGAACAAAATTCAGAGAATGTTGAACCGTCCGTTGTGGTTACAAATTTAGGGTTCTTTACTGAAAAAAAAAAAACAAACAAACCAACAAACGATAGTCAGCTCCTCTCTGCTTGCTAATGGGAGCGCTTACTGGATTAGCATGGTAAATTATTATAATCAGTTAACGCTCCATTAAAAGACTGAAAAATCAAATATCAACAACCCAGAATTTTTCCATGACTTTCAACTATAATCGCGATCCGAATGAAATAGCCAGTGACCCTCTGCAAGAAGCAAGAGCTGTCACAGGGGAGTAAATGTTCAGCGACGCACAAGACACTATTTGCCTCTACTTCGCTTGCTAAAAGCTACAATTAATTAGTTAATTATGTAAGTTAGAAAACCTCACAGTTTTTAATTTCCGGTTTTTCAAAGTTTATTTATTTTTTATTTTTTTTTACAATTTATATACATCAACGATTAAACTGACAAAAATATAGTACAGTAGGGGATAATAATCAAATTTCCACTCTAGCCATAAAATACAGTTCTGCAATGGCTACGATGAAGGCCAGCACAATTCCTATGATCACTCTCTGAAAAAGAAATAAAACAGATGATTGCTTTATCTTTGCAATTTGAGAATTGGCTCAGAATCTTGCTCCTATACACAATCCAATATTATTAATGAAGCCCGTAACTATGAGTCCATTTTAAAAAAAGTGTCCCAAAATGACGGTTCCCTAAAACGTGGTTTGCTTTAAAAAAGCCTTCATGAAGTATTCAGTGCAACATCTGCTTTTATATCACCAACATCTACGTCAAGTAACTGGGGGTGCTTATCAAATTTTGTTCTAAAGAGATGTTGAAAATTCCGCTCGAAAGGTTAATGGTAAGGTCATTTTTTGGAAATTCCAACCGAAAATTGAGGACAACAATTTTCAGAAGTCCTTTCATTCTGGTTGGTGAAACCAAGTGGAATACTACACACCGATTGCCAATTTTTTCGGTTCCAGACTTCAGCCGCACAAATTTGGATTCAAATGATAACAGATGTAGCAGTTCTACGGTAGACTGGTAAATCGCACATGATTATGATTTGGACTCCCCCTGAACCGGATTTTTCTGTGAAATTGTTATTTGGATTACTTTATGCTTCCGTTGCTTCCCTTTATGACAAGCTTAAAAGTCCTACAAGCCATTTTCTTAGCAGGCAAAAATAAAACAACAACAACAGCAGCAAACTTCAACCATGACCAGCCTACTTTTAAGTTTTGATTAATGCAGTGGTGTCGTTTTATGTGACTGTCCAGAATACTATAAATTACACTGGCTGGATTTAAGATGCTTGATTGAACCTGATTGTTACTCATAACCCATTTATTTATTACATACCATAGCAATGGGGGGAAAGGCATATTGAGATGCAATAAAACCAAATGCAAATGATGCCATTATTGACAAAAGAAAGTTGATAATAGAGGCCAACTGCTTGCTGACAGAGCGAACTAAAAGGTAAACATTGACACAAGAAAATCAATTCTGTTCCTTTAACGTATCCTAACCTTGACTGACATGCCTGGTCAACCTTACAGCCTAAGTAACTGCAAGTTTTCGGTTTTCAGGATGCATATTTCTTATTTTAATCCTGGGGGTGGTACTCCCAATACATGTAGAGAGGCTCCGCCCAAGGAGGGTTCCATTTTCAGACTTCAGGCAGATAAAAGGGTAGGGATTTCACTAGTTGAAAAATATGAAGGGGAGAGAAATCGGTCTTTTCGGTCTGTAAGAGGAACTAAAAGGGCTAACTGATGTTTTTTCGTGGCTGAGAAAAAGTGAAGAGGACATCCTTGTTTGGCCATTTTTTGATTATTTGAAAGATGGTGCATTTACAGCAGTTAACAGGGATGCAGCATTCTTAAATAGGTACGTGAAAAGCGTACCTTTTGCCAGTGGAAGGTATACGATTTAGGGGTACCTTTTCCGTTAAAAATGGTATATAAAAGTGTAAGGGGTTGGGCCTCGGGGCAGAGCTTCTTCCGTGTAATACTTTGTTGTGTATCCCCCCAGGATTTCAACTTTCCATTTTGCAAAGTAAAGAATAACTTCAAATTCACTTAGACAAAGTGACTTGGTTAATAACATAGAACAGTTCTTAAGTCTGACTTAGTACTGAGATTTAAGTACACGTAAAACTACCAATGAGAAATACACAGTATGGAGGCCCTCTTGAGGTAAAATTCTGACAAGCCACATGGCCTTGAAATAGCAAAATAACACTGTCAGAAGAATTGGCAACAAACAACACGAAAGATGGGTGGGAAACTGAGACAGTCACAAGGAAAATCCCAAATACAATAGTGAAATATCAAAAAAGACATGGCCTTCTCTTCAATACATGAAATGTCCACCATTAAAATTCAGAATAGAGACATACATACCCCTGCAGCCCCCACCCCCCTCCCTCAAAAAGCCTAAGTACCTGCTTACAAATACCCTAGAGTTTTGGCTATAAGTGCTATTTTGTGCCGAGACACTTTCAGTTTCATCAGAAAAATACAAATAATACACTACAATCAGTAACACCCACCTTCCTGTCCCAGTTGCATTCCATTGCTTTGGTGCCACTGTACATAAAACAGCAAAATAGCATATTTTGATTTTCATTAAAATGACAACAAGGAGTCCTTTTTGTGTTTATACTACTACATGAGAAATTTCTGCAATTTGATTGGCTTAGAGCAGTGGTATTTCAGCTTAATTTGAAATACCCACATGTGAAAATTACAAAACTTTTGTGGGTAGTAGTATAAACAAATAATAGCATGATTTGTATGTGATATTTGGCATAAATACCACTCATGATTTTTCAAAATTGTCTCAAATTTCACTCGCCTAACGGCTCGTGAAATTATGTGTAACAATTTCGAAATGTCACTCATGGTATTTATGCCAAATATCACTACAAATCATGCTATTACCTATACTAATGGTTTTCAACTGTACATGTTTTGTTTTGTTTCCATAAGAGAAATGTTTTTTTAGTTGTAAGTGCCACACAAGAAAAACCACCTGGTCTGGGCAGGGAGGTTACAGTGCTGTAGGTGGTGCACCAATCACCTGCACCCTCCCATCTGACCAAATTTCAGAAACCTTAAGGTGGCTTGATAGGTTGTTTTTTTTTAGCATAAACTATGTCACAATTAACAAAGATTTGGAAAAATTACCACTGCTGCTGTATTTATAGATAAAGTTGAAAATTTGAAAGTTTCATTTTCACGTGAACAGCAGTAAATAACAATATATGCAGAAATGTTCGCTATTGTTGTCCACAAAAATATAGAACTTGGAGACCATACCCTGAATAATGAGAAGCTCTCACTTGTAAACACAAAATTTCTGATAAACAAGAAAATGACGGTTAACCTTGAGAATCTCAATCTATTGAGCGGTTTAAAAATGACTTGTTTATTTTTTAAAGTAGACCAAAATGTTTACAAAACTGCCAACAAGAGCGCCTTGATATACACTAACCAAATCCAGCTTCTTTCTAGCAATTGGCCAGAGGCTGAGAGCTATCTCCATGATCTTTCACGTGTTTTTAAAAAGAATAAAACAAAGTTCTATGAGGTGAAATAATTGCATTTCAAAAACACTTCGTTTCCTGTAGACAACGACCGAACATCAATATTGTCCAGTTTTTAACACATTACTAACCATAAAAACTTCATCCCAAAATATCTCAATAATGCTCTTACAGATTTCGCTTGAACTTCACGAACATCGAGATGGCTATTGGAAGAAAAAGTTCCCGTTAACAATTTGGAAGATTAGTTCCCTGTGTTGAGAAATACAGCTGCCAGTAAAATAGGCAATGGCATCACTTCATTGCTATGACAACTCCAATGTCATTGTAACCCTGATCATGACAAATTTTCATCTTTATCTAATACACTGCACAGCTAAGGTGGTAATTTTTCCAAATCTTTATTAATGGCAATGTAGTTTATGCTCAAATTTGGGAGGTACTGACCCTGAAAAACAATCGAGCCACCTTAAGTAATAAAAAAACCTCTTAGAACCACTCGACTGTCCAATACCTTGCCTACACTTGCTCATGTAGGTAAGCAGAGCATGATGCCATTTGAAGGCAGAGAATAACAACAGTTCAGCTTACAAGGGCAGGCAGACTCAAGAGGAAATGGAGAATGATGGCAGACATAGAGAAGGGACAGAGATAGATGGAATAACTGGGGAGAGCTACCCACCCCAGCAATCAGTTCAACAGCTTTGGATAGGTCTGGCTGGGAAGTATGGATTAGCCTTATGTGTCTTGTTGTATGAAAAGGATACATGAAGGTGACGGTAAAAGCAAAGAGTTGAAGTTCAGTTCTCAATTTACAACAAATACACTGGTAGCTACCTGATACAAATTGAAAACAAAAAAGACTGAAACACAGCATTTTCACCTTTCTATCAACATTTGAAACCATCCTGTCATACTCTGCCCTTTCTTGCTCTGCTTTTAACTTTTTCAGACGAGCTATAAGTTCTGGACTCTAATACAAAGTAAAAATTATAATTATGCAATGATAAAAGAAATCAGTGAAAAGTCAGTGACATATATTACTGTTAATAACAAAAGGCTTATTCCGAAATATAAAAATTATTCATACTTGGCTCCAAAGTTGATATTTCATAAGAGTTCTTATGGATTATTGTGATTGGATGCAATTTGACCTAAACTGAGCAAAATTGCACCATGTCCATCATACATGTATAAAATCACAGGACCTGAAAAACTAAATAAAACAGTTTCTAAAAAAGCACTTTTGGATATTATGATCTGATGATGGTAACACTTTTTGTCTTATTTACTTAATATATAGAATGTACTCTGACTGACTGAAGAATGTGACCGGTGTTTTATACTTGTCATACTGTTTTGAGGACAAGGCTAAGCAATTTAACAAAATAAAACTGCAGGTTGTCAGTGGAAATGCAAGTCATAAATCAGAAATACCAGTCCTCACATACAGCATCAGGATGCAGCGTGGCTGAGTGGTAAGAGCCTTCGACTTTTAATTCAGAGGCCTCGAGTTCAAGTCCTGCTCTGACTGCTAGCTGGATTTGTTCACGGGAGTCCGAGATCAAATCCTTGGCCATGCTTGTAACTAGCCAGCTGGTTCGCCTCCGGCCAGTTGAGATTCTTAACCCTATTATGTTTTATTTAAATTATTTGTCTCAAACATTTGCTCGACCCCACTAGCATACTGTAGAGGATAAATAACAGAATTATTAATTAATTTATTTATTTTATAGCTGCCTCTCAATACTTCCCATCACTTGGGACATTTCACAAGAGAGGGGTTTGCATTTTGGCCTTTCCATACTACTGACATAAATCAATCTTGTAGCCAAGAGGTTCCAGATGTAAATTTGTTTCATTTTCTGTTCCTCCTTGTTGATTATCATAAAATTTTGAGCTCTGCTACATGTAAGAATGTGGTACAAGAAAATTTAACATTCCTGTTCTCACCGCGAACTTCTCTAGACTGATCTCAATACATTTCCTTGCCACAAAGATTTAGTTGAGAGAATATGTGACTTTCTATTTGGAGATCATTTCATTAAATGTTGCATAATCTTTTCTCTAAATTATTATTGTCTGGAGAAAATTGATGCTGGGTTTGGGGTAGCTACATTGTACACAGTATAATAGCTAGATAAATCTAAACATACCTTTTCTGGTAACTTTAAAGGTTCAACATAAACTTCACTTCCTGCCAGTAGCTCATGCAAGTATAGTTTTGAATCTTGATCTAGAAAGATGGTTGGATAAATTTAAAGAGAGGTCTAGGAACATTCTAGCTAACCTTAAGACACCATTAGGCATGTGGTTTTTCTACATTGGGTTTTGAAGGCAAACTTTATACTGTGCGCTATGTGTTAAAACAGGTAAATTTGCTAAGAGGGGGAGATTTGCTTTGTTATCATCTGACTCCCATGGGATGATAGCCTGTGTACAGACGTCCCCCCTCCCTCAGGAAAAATCGGGAGAGGAGACGTCTGTGAATCGTCGTCGTTAATCATGTTCCGGTAAACATTTAAATAACTTTTTTTTTGTTCTTTCTCTGACAGTTGAAAAGGTGTGGACAGACCAACATGACTCTGACTCTTTTAGAGCACGTACGCAGTTATTCTCTCGGATGTTCTCAACCTTTGTAGCTAAGCTAGGCTCTAACTAGAATATCTAACTAAAATGTCATTCACAATGAGTATTTTATGCTTTGGAAGATTCTAACACATTTTTCGGTGTTTTTTAGCTCATAAAGTTGGTATGTTACTGTGCATCGATTTCCTGTAGTTTTTGGTTGGACAGAATTTTGATCTCGGAAGCACTGTTTACATTTGAAGTCAAACGTTTTATGCAGGAGTTGATCCATTCGATAATTTCAAGTAGATTTCACATAAAAGATCGTTCACTTCTCTTCAGCAAGAAATTACAATAGCCTTACTTTTGGCTAATTCTTTGAATCATGACTGGCACATGTAGGTTGAAAAATAGCTCTGGCGTCTCTAAACAGGGTAGCCGAACATCTTCACACAATGTCCACCCAAAACTCCAGAAATAAGATCTCTGATCTGAGTCAAGCCAGGTCAAGCGTACCTCCCAACATCCCCTTAATGTATTTATTATTCGAAAGTTGAATCCCTTGGTAGTTGTAGATTTCAGATTCATCTCTGTGTGCATTCTTGCATGTGTAATGAGCCGTGAATTCGCACCCGATTCAGTTACAAAATTTCTACCAGCTCAGTTTCCCTGAATTTGATGTAAATGTCTTCTAAGACATTTTCATCCATTCAAAGATTTTCAATTTGACCAAATACGGAGTTCTCATAAAATATTCACTGCTTATTACACATGCAGGAATGCCAATTCAAATTTGACACAAGTCGGGAATGACTAATGGCATCATTTTTTCAAATAATCAATTCATTAACCCATTCGCCCCTGAACCGCCCTTAACCGCCCGTGCGGATCCAGGTCCTTTCTACCCTTTGTGACGTCATCAGTTTTAACGGTCAAGGACAACTTTCTTCGCTAACTTGTGCAGAGTGAAGAGATCTTTCAAACCATACCAGAATGAGGCACAATTCAGTCACGGACACCGGACAAAGAAGCAAAAAACCACGTGACATTGACCTGAAAATCTCCATGAAAATCTTGTTCCCTTACCCACCTACCTTTCCTTTCACCTAATCCTAAGATCCTAAAAGCTTTCCTAAAAACTCTTCCCACCAAAATGGAGCCTACTAAATGCCCAGAAAGAGAAAAAAAAAATGAGGCAAGAAAAGCGAAAAAAGAAGGGAGGAGAGAAAGTCAAATCAAGACTGCTGTGTCACTTTTAAACCCAAAAACTATCTCGAAATTTTGCTTTCTGCGCATGCCCGAACTTCACAAGCTGATATTTTGCATCTGGATCAGAAGGCCGCCAAGTGTACGACATGTAAACCGGTTTGTGGTAAGTTTTAGCTCTTTATAGCACGACAGTGACCAGAAAACCACTCGACTAACTTCAAAACGCGTTTTTCAGCAAAATCTCCAGGAGCAAATGGGTTAAGAGAATCTTTTGGGGTAAAACTGACCTGCCTTGGCTGTAAATGTCGGATTTTGTACGTCCTTCTCTTTTATTTACAATACCGGCCAGTACAGACAGACGCACCCACAACCGGTGCCGCAAACATTGGTGGTCTTAACTTCTCATGGCTATTCCAGAGAGCCGAATTACAAATACCAGTAAACAAATATGAATGCCACAAAGGCTGAGCTTTTCCCTGGGGAATCTATTCCGAGATTCATTCACCAATCACAACACGGGAAATCATTTGCGTCATGGCATTAACATAACAACCAATCAGAGGCTGTCCCCAACATTCCAGGGAAATGGGAACACGATTATTGTTGGCGATTCACAGACATCTCCTCTCCCAATTTTTCCTAAGGGAGGGGTAAGTCTGTATACAGGCTATTGGGATGAGGCAAGAGAGTGATTTGACCCCTCAGTTCTTCCTCTTACCATTTTTAAAAGAAGAGGGAAAGAAATGAAAAGAAAAAAAACGGTTACAAGTTTGCGCCTTGCAGAAACATGCCACCCTCAAGTGCACTGGGGGCTGAGGAGGAGTAAGAGCTGACTTTTGCAGTAGATCGATCGTACCGTAGAGAGTACAAAAATTTAACTAAACGCCTGCGATAAAAATAATTCCTGAATTTTACGTTTAATCAATTGATTCCTGGACAGAGGTTTAAAAAACTTTGTTTATGACGTACATGAGGGTTTCAAGTGAAACTTGAATAGACTACAGTTGAGAACCTACCGGTATTCCCTCGAAGACATTCCCAAAGTTGTTTGACTAACTTGAACGGAATGGCCACTTTTTTCTTCCTTTTATCTAATTCTTTCGCTTCTGTAAAGTCTTTTGTATATTTTGATAATTGTTTCTCGAGATCCTGTGGAACTGAGTTGCGTCTAATAGCTTCTAAAATGGCATCTTGGATGTGCTTGGTCAGCACCACTTGTGCATCAACCGCCATTTTTTTTCCAATAGATACGTTATGTATGGTAACCTGAAGAAGGACGTCATTTGGCGAAAAGCCGGAAGTTGGAAAATTATTTAGAATGGAGTCTGTCTCCAGACGATGTATGATCGACATTGCTTGTGATTTGTGTCGTGATTGGAAAAAGTTTGGTTACGTAAATGGCCTGTCAAAGGAAGTTGAGCAAATTGATCAAGATTACAGGAAAAATGTGTTTGAACAGGCGTACAGAATTCTACAAGCTTGGAAGCAAAAAAATGGACCCAGGGCAAATTATCAAGAGCTAGGAAAATCGTTTAGATCAGGAACACTGCTACGCATTGATTTAGCTGAAAAATATTGTGAAGGGAGAAATCAAAGCCCCTCTACAACAGGTAATCGGTAGATAAATGTCCTCCATATTACATGAAGCTAGCCTGAGCATGATATGAAGAATATGCGGCCGAGTGGATTCCCCCCGGGAGTGGATTATAGTAACAGCCTTCTCAATATGCAAAATTCTTCATATCATGCTCAGCCCCAGTTACGATAAAATTGTTAAGTATAGTAATTATGCCAAACTTTCTTCCCTTTTATTCTCTAATATCCTGAATCACTATCTTCAACCATCTACTGATTGTTTTCATTTCAATTATACTTTAAATATTATTTACATAGGACTTCAGCTAATAATGTATAAAGTTTGTTTTGGTTCTTTTTTGTTTGTTTATTCTTTTTTCTTTAGGATTTCTTATAGGTTTCCCCTATAAGTATGTCTGAACTGCCACTGTACTCTTGTCTGGTAAACTCGTGTAAAAACTACTTGTGTATTTTTTATTATTATTTTAATTTGGTGAAATCAAAATTACATCCTCGATCTACACATCTTGGATGGGAGGACACTAAATTGGGTGACAGCAAATCAAAACAGCTTTCAACCGAACAAGGACTGTGGGTGCATTAAGGTGGTAGGAAGAGATAATAGTCTCTTCTGGGAAATGACTCTACACAATTTCATATATTTTTTTATTACTGTTGCCTTTTTTTTCTAGGAAGTGTAACCCGCGAGGCAGGTGCAAGAAAAGGGAGGAAAGCAAGAAAGGGAAAAGCAAAAGGGAAAAAAAATAAAGGGAAAGGGGGCAGTCCTCTTTCCTTCTCTCCCCAATCCCCTCTTCCTTTTCCCCTCCCTCCCCCTCTCCTTTTGAAGCCTCCTACACAGATATCAGAACTGTTCATTTACTTTTGTTTTACAATCTTAGAGAAGGGTCATTTGAGGACTGGAAAGGTGTCAGACACCGATATAGTGGCAATTTCAAATGAGCTTGGTATTAAGTGGATATGGGTTGGACGGTTGCTTGGGCTGGAGGACACTGAGCTTGATGATATTAGAGAAAATAATGGGAGTCACTACGAATGCTCTCACAAAATGCTGCTGTCCTGGACACAAAGAAGTACATCCCAGGCAACATATGAGTGGCTTGCCCAAGCATTAAGCCACACAGCAGTAGGCAGGGGTTTAATTGCTCAAAAGTACTGCATTGAAGATGTTGGAGAGTCCCAAGGAGGTATTACTATGAACATTATGTGATTAAAATTATGAGTGACAAAGGAGATAAGCAATTAATAAGCACTTATCAGTGTACATGCAATTTAGGAGAAAGCAGATGGATGAAAATGAGACTGCAGAAGAAAAGAAAAGTTCTTAGGTCATCTTAACCTCGTTCATCCGTCCCTATGGAACATGCAAGCGAGAGATGGGACGGGTAGGGAGAGAACCCTGGGAACGAGCTTGAGGTCAATCTCTCTAGTACATTTGTAAGAGAAGCCGTGAAAGGGGTGGATTGGGGCCAACCATACAAACTAATGCAAAAGTCACAAGACAAGTTCTAATAACAAATAATCAACTTGTCATCGGCCGGACATTTTAATTATTAAATCAAGGTGACCTTAATCGTACACCAGCCTCTCTCCTTTGCAGAGGCCATGTTGTGTCACTATGAAGCAGTGGAGCACGGGCCTGACTGCATGTGAGGTTACTACATAGGTCGTGCAATACTGGTCATACTGATAAGTGAATGCCCAAGTTTGAGAGCAGTCATTGGACCTTATAAACACGGCCACTTGCCTGAGAGAGTTGATCTAAATTTTTATCTAAGGTACTCCATACCATGCCTGTGGACTGCCATTAATTTTTACTGAGTACTTCGACCACCAGAAGATTTTAATGGCAGCCAATCCTCCATTTTGAGAGAAGCAAAAAGGAGTACAGATAGATGGATAAGGGATAGTAGTTTCTTTTAGTTTCCCTTGCACTAATTATAATACCACTAATTGGTTAACTGGTCAATAGCCATGGCTTAGGTGGCGTTTAGCCTTGTTAAGATTATACGTTGTGTCAATCTTAGGTGCAGCTGTTCCTCTTGGGGGAGAAGACATTCAGCAACTTAATAAAAAAATGGAGACATTACAAGTCTGCAATCCGACAGAAGGAGCAAGTAAGCTTGATGATGATGGAGAAGGGAGTGTTGAAAAAATGAATGACAGTGCAATAGGTTTGTAAGTGTTTTCTCCATAATTTGTAATTTCCTTGTAATTTAGGTGTGTATTTGAGGAAGCAGGAAATTTTTGGGAGATTGTTAACATTTTGCATTATTCTGTCTCGTGCATTTTAACACATCAATAGCTGCCACGAACAAGACCCCCATAGTGGGGGTTCATTGGGCTGCCGACTGCACGATGCAGTGGTTTAATATTAAGGGAAATATATATTAGGGCCATTTCCAAAACAAATTTCCTTCCCCGGAAACTCCCTTCCCCCCAAATATTGCATGACAGTATAACGTGACTAGATTGATCTGTTGCTGACTGTGAAAAACAGCTGAAAAAAAAAATATGGAAGATGACACTGTAAGAAAGCAAGCCCTAGAGTTAATGCATGTGAATGTTGTTCTAATTTGCTTTTCACGAAGCTCTTACAAGACTGGCACCAATTTTGTTCACTTACAATAATTTTACCTACTGCAAATTTTGATTTAATCGCTGTTTTCATGAGCAGAGTAGCTTTACAAATTATTCAAAGAGCTCAGCATTTTGTTTTACCCTGATGCATATACTTTCGTGCCTTTCAAAATTGCTCAAGTCTACCAACCTCTAGCAATCCTTCTTCTACTTCTTATCATTGTCATCATCATCACTGTGCTTACTAGGTTCAAGAAACCCTCTACCGGTGCCAGATAATTGCATACAAAAGAAGTTTATTACCAATCTGCCTTATAAGGTATGGGGAGCCTTGGTTGTCAAGCTAGACCCCCCACGCGAATTAGGAGGAGACTTCAAAGATCTCGCTGGCGAAATGGGATTTAACACGGATCAGATATTGTATTTCAAATCACTGAAGAATCCCACAGAAACTGTTCTAAAGGGTTGCTCCTCACGTTCTATAGAGGATCTTTGTAACAAGCTGGATGTGATTGGACGAGGGGATGCTAGGTCGGAGATTGATAAATGGATCAAGACACAAGATTGTAAATGTGCATTATGCGCAACCACGAGTTAACCCTCGAGTTATTAGGGAAGGTAACTTGCATTTTGATGGGGACTCTCCTCATTTAAGACCTACATGTCATGACTTTAATACCAGCTTGAAAAATTTGGGGCATACTACAAACCCATTTTTTTAAACTCGCAAGTCTCACCATTGAAGACAAATTAGAAAGCATTTAAATATTTAAGGTATTAAGTCTATTTCATCAAAGATTTTGTTTGAGATTTTGAAAGCAATGACATATTTTCTTTAAGTAAAGCATTGTGGAAACTCAAACATGCAATAACATAAACCACACCGCCAATTATTTTAACGTAAAGATAAGGACCCATGTTGAACCATGCAGACGGATGCTTATCACTCTGTTCACTATCCACCGTCCATGCAAAGTTGAAAAACTTAGTACTAGAGTCCTGAGAGTAGTATAGGGCTCAGTGAATCATCCTTTTTTGGGCAGGAATCTCATTAAGGATGGCACAAATACATGAACACCAATGACGTCATAGCCTTTTGTCTTTATCCCATGAAGAAAATCGGATAAAATGCTGTTGAATCTCTCCCTCCTCCTAGCACCAATCACCATTGTTTACTTACACCAGTCCCCTTCCTTCTCCTCCACAATTCAGTTATTTCACCCCCCTCAATTTTTTTTTTCCCCTCACCAACACCACATCTCTATTGTTTTCCCTATCGCTAAACGCAATGTTTTACTTACACCAGCCCCCTTCCCCACTTTCCTTCTCTTCAGGTATTCGCTCCTTGCCTTTTTTTTATTTTCACTCCACTACTACCACCAGCACCACATTTCCATTGTTTTCCGTCCACCAGCACCACATTTCTATTGTTTTCCTCCTCCACAACAACACGTTAAGAATTAAATATATTAGATTTTTGTATTCAATTCGGTGAGAATGTCAACATTGCTGAAACTGTGCGATAGGCGTCGGAGGAGAAAAAGGGTGGGAAGTTCTCTATTTTTCCTTCGTGCTTTTCTCTCCGCTTCCCTCTTTTGCCCCTGCCACACAGGTTAACATTGGTTGATGTCAGGTTCTTACAATTTGTCGCCACGACGCTGCAAGGTTGTGTATTGGACAGGACAATGTACGAGTTTGTTGCCCACATAATTATTTTCATCTAGTGAAAGGGTTAACACTATGTAGCATTGGCGAGTTTGGTCATGATCTAGTGTGACGCCGAAGTTTGTGACGTTATTAGCCAATTTGGATAAATAGTCTTGGACCTTGAGAGATGCAGTTGGATTGGCCGTAGCTCACAAGTAGAGCGAAAAATTTTTTTGTACGATAAAGCATTTTTTTGAACGGTAAAATCTCGGCCTACTGCCAGAAACACGAACAAGAAGTGAAAGAATTTGAGAGTGTGTCAATACATTTCAAGGGCTTGGGTGCCTTGGCCTCACAAGGCACCATCCGTGTCCCAAATCTAATATGAAATGGGCAATGACCAATCACAGCAAACGTAGCATTAATATTTCACTGTAAAAAGGATCGACAGCAAAATAGAGAAAAACTGGGTTTTACCATCCTCTGTAAGTAGGTCAAACTTCTTACGGTTTCTAAGATCGCCTCCCTGAGCTTTAAATGAACAAACTGAGAGCTTAACAGAAAGCTTAAACACAGTGTTCACGTTTCTCGGAGTTTCTATTTTTTTGTTCCAAAATCAGTAAAAACGGATTTATTAGATCCTTTTTTCAAAAACTGAAGCGCCCATTCACAAATGGCTAACACAGGTCTGCAATAGAGGATGATAAGCCAGTGATTTCTGTTTTGATTTGATCTCTCGTCGATTGTCTACCGACTGTTAACTATTTTTATGCTCTATTAGACACTCACAAACAAGGTTCAGTATGTTAGCTTCTTCGTCAGTTATATTTAGCAAACTGATCACTACAAACTGTAACAATAACATGATTCAACAAAAACCAAGTTGTTGAATAATAAATATCTTCATAAATTTTAACATAAATTTCATTTCTCTTTAGGTGATCTAAATAAAATCGATTTCCTGTTGCAAATAATCCTTTGAAAACCGTAACGAATTTGTTTAAAGAATATGATACATACATGCCTTAACAAATAACTTTCTTTGATACTATTCATAATTATGCATGCCATTTTTGAGAAAAGTTCAAGTAGAACGGTGTTCGACAGAATCTCTGTGAAAAACTGAAAACAAAAGCAACCAAAATCCCAACAGGCTATGCTAACAGTTATCTTGCGAAATAATGTGAACTCCCACACATTAGCATTTAGGGCCCGGAAAACTATTTTCTGTTTGCCATGTTTCCCTTAGAAATGTAAGTATGAATAAAGGTAAAGAAAGAAATTAAACAGATTTGTGGCCTGGAGACAGCATTCTTTTTCTTAAGAGTTCTACTTTTAAATAAAACGTGTTGCACCAAAAAGTAACTGGGTTTTGAGAAGCAGGCTACAGGCCTTTAAGTGTGGTTAAGCTTAATTCTCTTTTCAAGGACCTGCTAACCAGATAGCAAGCACCGTGTAACATGATTTGTATCGAAATGCCCCAAAGACCAGGGCAACACAACAGGGCCATTTTATCTCTTAAAAGGCACAATAATATCAGCGCCAATACTGGCCAAATGGAACAACTCCTAAATATGACGATTAAAAAAACAGGCAGTCTCTTTGTTCTCTGCCTGTATAAATACAGGCCAGTTCAGAAATCAACGGGGTATAACCGTTGATCAAAGGCACTTGCAGAAGTATGCTTGTTGTAGGGTTTGTTTAGCTGTCAATCTTCCAACATCATCTGTGTCCAGCAAATCACCAAGGACAGCCAACAGGTCGGTGTCCTGGGGGAAAATTCACATACTAAGCACAAGAAATGAATATGAAAACACAAGTGCAGGGATGGCTTCCACTTTCTTAAAAGTAAAGATTAGAGACCTTTAGATTCCAGGACACGGACGATAACGAGGGCGCAAGAAAGACACACCGGAAGGCTTCATTATATTTTTCTTTTTTTCACCAGAAGGGTTATGTAGAAGGAGGTAAAGCTCTCACCCAATCGCAAAATGATGAAACTTCTAACTTTTGCTCCCGTCACTACCACATTTTCACAAAAACTCGAAGTACAATGACGACCGCTATCGCCTTTTCCCGCAAAAATGACGCTGGTTCACGCGCGCGCACTACGTAGTATTAGGAAAATCTCATTCTCGTCCTAGAATCTAAGACACGGTCTCTATTAACATTTGGGACAGAAAGATCATTTTTTGTACTTGGCATTGTTTAAGGTTAGGATTAGTCTATATTAGATTATAGGCTTATAACAAATACCTCTGTCAGTTGCGAGAAAGTGCTCGTTTGATCCTTGTTTGGAAAGTTCATCTGCAAGACAACAGCAATATTTACGAAGGTAGTAACATTAATAAATGGCTTACAAGTTGGCAAGCGCAACGTTCCAATTCAGTAACATCTCACTGACTAAATAGCGACAATGGAGTGCTTAGGCAAGTATGGCGAAAACAGCGATGGGAAAACAGGAAGCATAACCCTTTAGTTCCCAAGATCTGACTAGTATTTCTTCTTTTCTGTCTGCTGCTTATTTTTTTGTACATTATTTAAGATAATTTTGCAGTTATATTAAGATAAGATCCTCAAGTTGATAAATTGGCCTATTCTCATCATTCCTTGTTTGCTGGACAATGTATTGATATTACAAGAAGTTACATGAAGATCAAGTTAAAGGGATAAGCAACCAGGGGTCAATTTGATTAAACTTCTAGAAGTGTAATTTACAAGTGTAGCTATTGTTTTCAGAGTCTAAAACAATGGCTAAACTTGTAAACTACACTTGTAAAAGTTTTACTAAATAGACCCCTGAAGGACGACAGCAGAGAAAACATCACAAAAAATGAATGTCTCCTTTTTCAAATAAATTTAGTTACGTCTGTTTTGCCTCGGCTTAATTTGTCAAATATGGGTGAATTTTCCTGGAGTTGAATTCTTAATGTCTGTATCCAAGTTCAAAAAAATAAAGATAAATTTGCCCCACTAGTCGTTGCTCACGTCCTCACAAAACATGACATTGGAAGTTTCACGTAGTAGTTGCACCATGGACATCAAAGAAATGAACCAAAAAGTGTAATGCAGCGAGCCATTTTGCTGTGAAATTCAAAAGCAATTGGTTGTGTCATCGTATTGGTTGCTTTAGCTCCCTGACAAAACCAGCTGTACATGCAGCAAACCTTTTGGTACATTTCGCTTTAAATTCTCAGGGCAACTACGACGTGAAACGTCCTGGTGTGTTGTTTTAGATTATTTTGAAAGTACGCGAATTCACTTTTCAAGTAACATGTTGGTGAAACTGCAATACTGTCAATAACGGTTACGTACCTTGACCATCAAATCACCAAAAAACTTCATTTCCCAAGCTTTATTACATTGCTGAAAAAAGATCAAATCGTTGCCTGTCACTGATTTCGAAAACTACTCACATAAGTTATCAACTTAGTTGAGATTGCTATTGCCTGCAATGAATTCCTGCAACCATTCCATATAGATAGCACGAGAAAGACCTTCAAAATACAAAGAACACTTCAAAAAAATTCCCACATATCAAGGCTTTCGTTCCGAACGAGAAACCGCCTAGGTAGCCCCTCCTATCATATCCTGAAATTAAACTGTTAATATTATAGGTGACGAATTACTCCTTAATTTTGCCGCGAAATTTCAGCGTTAATTTGTAATTTCACATGTGAAATTGCAAAATTGCTATGGCAACCCTTCCGTACGTCTCAGTGTCAAGATGGCGACGAAGTTTTAAAATGCCGTGAATGAAGATGTCAGGACACAAAAAGACGCTTTAGAAAACCTGAACACACAAGAGAACATTAAGAAGGATTCTAACGGGTATTTTGCCGAAAGAGTCTGAAAAATTCTGAACTTTATAAGCCAAATTTAAGGTCTAAACATTTGAGAGAGTGGAGTTCTCGATCGATACGATCCAGGATAAACATGTCAAAAATCCAAGATTGCTAACGTTGTTGTAAAGGCTCGGGAAATTATTAGGATTTGGACAAAACGCGCGTGAAATTATTCCCTAATTTCACTCGTCACCATTTGACTGCACATGCAAATATGATACCTTCACAACATTGGACACCGTTACAAACAAATTAATGTGAATAAGGCCTTAAATAAAAAGAATAAAAGAAACTGGTGACAAAAACGCACCGTGTTGATAAAAGGATAAAAATCGAGTCGTCCTCTAAACTGTCCATCCACTTTCTCAACCAACACACTTTGAAGATGAACACAGCCATGGCAAATGTCACTTGTATGGAGTGCATTCAAACCTTCTAAGACGTCTCTCAAGACTACAGCAACATCCTTTAAAAAAACATCCGATGGTTAATACAACGACTGGATCAATTTACAGAAGGTGAAAAGAAAAGAAGTTTAGTATGGAGTAATATGTCCGAGGTACAAATATTTCAGATAATCGTCAAAAGATCAAAATCATTTAATGAGAGAATACATGGATACTCGCCTCAGATGAACATTCGTCAGACTTAAGCCATTCTTCACCTCTCCTCAAAAGAGGCATTTGAACAAATGCTCTGTTTCCCTGTGGGTCACAAATCAGTTTAAAAAAGAGTAGTAATGGTAAAATCTTAAAAAGACTTGCATAAGTATACCCAGCCAAAACCATACCCAATCATTAAAAGAATGAAGATTCAGCTATTGCAGAGAAATTTCTTGAAAGTTACACGAAGTTTTCGGAAACCCATCCGGATCCATTCATCAGTGACGTTTGCAGTTATTTACAGCCACGTTTTGACGAGGCTGCAAAATTGTTCCACAAATTGAGGGATGGCGGGAGCCCTGATCACGGTTCATTGCCGGTCACCGAGTACGAATGTTTATGGCCTCGCAGATCTTGCGTAAAAGCAGGTGTTTTTTTCAGGCCAAAAATTTTTGCACTGGCCCAGTCGATGGAGTGGCCTGAATCCTTAGTGTGTTTGGACACAGTAGACTTGAGATCACAGGCTTGCACTGATTTCTGGTGTTCAATTAGCCTAGTGTCCAGTTTCCCTGCTGTTTCATCAATGTACTCTATCATTACATTTGATATTGTAAATAACCACACTTACAAGACGACCACCGAGCCGAGAGAGTGACCTAGTGCTAGAGTAAATGTCAAGGGCCTCTCCACTTCGTCTTGTAGACGTTACACTAAGCTAGCTTGTGTTGAGTTTGCCCCTGAGTATTTCTTCCCTCTTAATTTCCTTTGGATCTCCGAGGGGTTTAAGACCCTCAATGGGTGTGAAAAGAGCGTAAGAAAAGGGATACTGAAAGCCAACGTCCACGGATACCCTCAATAGTGAGCTTTCACAACGGAAGCCTTACTGTTAAAATGAATTCGCGATATTTTAAACTTTGTCGCGTTTATTTCAACTCGCTTAAAATGTCAAATATTTGTTCATTTCAGAACATTTCAGTAGAGTTGAATTCTGGGCGACCTTACCCAAGTTTAGAAAAAGAAACAAAAATTCGTATTGGCGTGTTCAAGCAACAAGTAAATACTTCAGTTGTCGAAAAAGAAGAATTACTCTTAATGAGCAAAACTTCGACGGTATGGCTAACTGGTCGTGTGTTGTAAACTTTCATGGTATACAAATGAGCATGTGGTTTATTTTGGACGATGATTGAAATGACGCGCCATGTTTATAACGTTTTTGCTTTCTGGCAATGATGCAATTTCTCTTGAATCGAAGTCCTTGATTATTCACGCGTACTCAATCAATTCAAAAACAGGTTGTCGAATACGAAATAAATAGTAAATATTCTGAAGAATACTCGACCATCAATAAAGTAGGAAGTGAAAAACGGTTAGCGAAGAAATCTGTTTGGTGTAGTATTAATCGCGTCCTCATTTCTTATTTATTTTACCCTCCACGCAGGCGAATGAGGATTTCTACATACCTTAACAAAAAAGGCGTGTAGAGGAACCAGGAAAGGGTTACCGACACTTCTGAAGTTAACAGCTCGGTTTTGCAAAGTTTCTTTGTCGCCCAACTCTCGATCCAAACTTATCTCCTACAAAGTGAAAGAGAATAATGTTTCTATAAAATAAGGGTGTATTATTACTAACAAGAAATGCAATTTTATTGTGTAAGAACGAAACGTAGGCCACAAGGTTGGGTTCGCAGCATAATAATCGACTGGGGAGGAAAGCAAAAAACCATGTGCTGCCGTAAATGACCTAATAAGCGCACGCTTCCAAATAAACGCCTCTTATCTTATAAACGCCTCCTCTATGCTGTTAGAATTGTATTAGAAGCCCCTCTCTAATAAACGCCCCCTACAAGAATTAGCAAAAAAGAGCAAGAGCAAACTCACTCAATTCATTCAGTTTCTTGCTTGATTAAGAAGGTTTTGCGTATTTCATCATATTCAATGATAAGTTCATATTGAGGATAAACTAACGATGGCAACACAATAACCCCGATATGGGCGTTTATTAGATCATTTACGGCATTTGCTCGTAAATCTATTTAATAAAGTACGAAACGAAAAACGGGGAGGTAGAGGAGAAGGGGAAAGTAAGCAAAGACTTTGCACTGTGTTAAGTTTAGGAGCAATTGAAGGATCAGTATTTTCCCAATTACCGTAAGTTACAAAGAGACAACGCTACGATAAATCACCTTCAGTATGCAAGGTTTTCCAGAAAACTCAGTGTTGATAACTGAACATTTGTCGTGACTTGTATAAGGTACAGAATCGTGGCGTGGGTAATGCTCCAATTCTCTGCCTGGTTTCAGCAGACCCTTGGACACCTACAACATCACAAACCAGCATTTTAGACATGCAGAACACAACATACCGGATTGCTATTCATTGCAATGGAAAAAATTTACTTAACTTACAAGGAATTCTGATATTCCAAGTTCGGGGTGAGCTATTGGAAGTTCAGGGAAGTGATTTGAAGCACACTTTGCCAAATCAGCCTGCCGAAAAAAAAAATTATTATGAAACTGTATCAATCTCACTGATGAATTAACTTAAAAAAACTTTAACTAGCCACGCTTCAACTCACCAAGAATCGACTTTCTTCCTCAAACCCTTGATGAAGTTGTAGGTATATATCTGAAATGTCACTCTCCACCTGAAAACAAATCGCAAAATCACCATTCACAGCATTTGTTTAAAGTCAGAAATTTTAAAGAAAAATTGCTTTTAAGTTAACCTCATGACGGACCAACGCTGATAATAGACTATCTACCTCAATTACAGTACCACATTCATGTTCCCAGGGCCCGCAATGTAGTCGGAGCTCTTGATAAGCCACAGGGGATTACCAAACCTTGGCAATTTGTGTGGTTGCCTATGGGAGTTTCAATTTAATGGTTTTCATCGTTATGTCGTGTGAATACACGCAGTCACTGAAGAGAGTGTGAAAAGGGAAATGCTCGCGGGTGCGCTTTGCACCTTTCAAGTTCCGTTCATCTTAGTGCTGATACAAGAAAAGCACTATTTTGCAGGCTAGTTTCTAGCATCAGTACAAAACTTGTGCAAAATTAAAAACTGTAATGTCAGACTGAAACAGTGAAAACTTTAAAAGTAGAAAGTCTTACTGGCTACCGAAATGTATTTCTCGAACACCCTGAAATTTCCCCCAAGCTACAGCTGAGTGTGGAAATTTTAACTACACGTTGTAAATACCTTTTGAAGTTCATCAGGATTTTCAACCTCATCCCCCTACACAAAAAGAGACAACAATCAGGTCAATTACCAAAGTTGAATACCATCACCTGACGAGATGCATCAGTAAAAACCCGCGTGTAAGAGCATAGTGCATGGTTTAAGAACCTGCTGGTAGAGATTTGCCACTTTAACCCATTCGCATGCGCAGGAAGCAAAATTTCGAGACACAGCAGTCTTGACATTTACTTTTCGCTTTCTCCCCTCCCCTCTTTTTTCGCTTTTCTTGCTCATTTTTTTTTTCTCTTGCTGGGCATTTAGTAGGCTTCGTTTTAGGAAAGCTTTTAGGACCTTAGGAGTAGGTGAAAGGAAAGATAGGTGAGCAACGGAACAAGATTTTCATGGAGATTTTCAGGTCAATGTCACATGGTTTTTTGCTTCTTTCTCCGGTGTCCTTGACTGAATTGTGCTCATTCTGGTCTGGTTTGAAAGATCTCTGCACTCTGCCCACGTTAGTGGACAAAGTTGTCCTTGACCGTTAAAACTCATGACGTCACCAAGGGTAGAACGGACGTGGATCCGCACGGGCGGTTACAGGCGGTTCAGGGGCGAATGGGTTAATACCCAACAATTGCCAAGCAAGTTCAAGCAGGTTCTTGTATGTGGGTCAATTACCCTAAACTATAAGAACCTTTTTTTTCAGACTTCAAAAAATGTAGCTTCTTACACGCGGGTTTTCACTGCACAGCTCAATTTGCAAAGGTCAAAACATCAGTGACTATCAACAACACTCCCATTCAGAATTATACTCACACAAACGTGCATATTTCATGTACTTATGTACTGATATCTCTGTGGGATAGAAGTAGTTTTCCACCAAAATAACAAGCTGTTAAACGATCTAAGACAGTATAATTCTTGTAGTCTACTGATAGGAGACGAATATTTCAATTCATAAAATAAGACCAACCTCCTCTAAGTCCTTCTTGTCTGCCAGTCTGTGACGGAGTCTTGAACGTAAACTTTTGATTTTTCTTCTAACTTCTCCCATTTTCTTTATATCAGGCTTAGATCCAAGCCAAGGAGTCATATCAGCCTATACAATGTGACCAACCCCACACCCCCAAAAAATTAATATGCAAGAGCATTGTTCACGTAGCCTGAGAGCAAGCTCTCCATTTTGAGTGGCCAGCAAAGCGAGCTGTGAGAGAACGCGCATGCAAGCGTCCTCTCTTTCTTGTATCTGCTTTCACGTGCCGCTCGCGCGTGACCTCCCAATATCCCACAAATGGAGAGCTTGCTCGCGATTACTTCCACGGTTTTACTATTACATTGAGGAAAACTTTCATTTTTCTCTGCACTTGGTTGACATCATTTGGTTAAAGCCAGTGTCGTATGATTCTGCAGATTGTACTTATTTTCATGCAAAAAGTACCTCTCTATAGATTACTGTGACCTGCATTCCCATCTTGAAAACAGTGACGGCAGGCCATGTAAAATAAAACACTTCGCAGTTCTAGGAAATCTTTATAAACGTGCATTTAACATATCCTCCCAACCACAACCATAACTAGAAACGGTTGCATATTTACTCGACAAAGTGATGCAGTGCAAACTTGAAATTTTGACTGGCAGTGCGGCACATATCGAGGCAGCAGAAATTTAAAACTCCTCATTAATTGATCTTTCTTTTCGTTTTTTTAAATCCAAAATGATGGAAACATAATAAGAACGTACTAAATTCTAGTTTTATGATCTATCCAAATCTGTGATAACAATACCCCCTCCCCCCGCCAAAAAATACAATATTTCTGAGTGAGCGTTTATTTAGGGGCAAAAGTCCATAACATTTTTTGACCCAAGTGTGCCCCTTAGTCGGGGAAAGCGCTCTTTCGAGTAAATACTGTATGTGTACTAAAATGACAAAACATGTTATTAATTGACCGAGTTTGAAGGTCTTTCTCTCTCCTTACTCATTTTTCAACCCACCTGAAGGTTTCTGTAATTTGCTACCAAATGATCTCTACAAAAAAACACAATTAAACATTTTATGAGATATTAGCGTGTAAGTCACATCAGCGTTAGCAGTCATTTCTCTGATTTTTAAGAGAATATTTTCCCAATAATTACGGACCACTTGCCGTATTAATTTAGTACAATCCGTTATTTCAGACCTTGCCCAGAAATCACACATAAGGTGAAAATACGTTACCTATAAAAGAGTCTATAAACCTTTCTAAGCCCCACCTTAAAAGATAATTTTAGGCTTGTTAAACCCTCAGGTGATACTCAAATGAAGGGTACATCGACTACATGGGGCATAGCTTGACAAAACAGCCGAGTTTTCGTGACATCACCACGGGTTTCCCTGTGAAATGACGTGTGAGAAAGAAGTGCAAAAATTCCACACTGATCACGCGTCACTTACTCAGATCTGCTCTGACTGGTCGTGCCAAGTGGGAAATTTGCTTCAACCAATCAAAAGCATCTCCCAGGAGTTTTGTCAAAAATCAATGCTTTAAGCTTATAATGAAAATAATGTAACCAATCTGGCTATTAATCAATCATTAGTGCACGCAGATGATGGGTCTAAGTTACAGAATATATTTTGAGAAAATTAATATACCTCAGCTCTTGAATATATGAAATTTCTCTTTCGATTTCTGTGATAAGAGTTGTTATTGCACCGCCAACTATCTGTTTAGCTTCTTTATCCTCCGACACCTAACAAAAATACACATAGCATTCAAAATATATATTAACAACCAAAATTCAAAAAACAAAAATCAAAATTCATACTAAAAACCAAAAGAAAGCTCTACAATACAAAAAGCTAATTTAAACGTAATACTCTAAAAAGCAGAGACACGTATATTATGTATGAGGCACAGAAGTACTTTCTAATGCTATTTAGTTTGGCCTTTGCATTATAGCCAACTACATAACAGTTGAATGGAAGGCCCCCTAACTGCATAAAAAAGACAAACTACTGTAGCTGTCTGATTAACAATTCCTTACTGGCATACACGAACATCCAGGGGTTTAACGCCACTTCAGTGGAGAACAATGAGCTACAAGAAGGGATGTAGCCAAATCAGCTGAAGAAACTCAACAGACCACACATACAAACACTGCACTGCCTCAAATAACTGCCCATACAGTTCATAATTCCTGGAGCTTCCCAAACAGAATCTGAGGAACTATTTGATTTTCTCAAATCTCGACGATCACGAATTGAGTGAATGTGAAGTGAGCAGTCTGCTACCACCTTATGCTAACCGAAATCTGCCTGACTTGTCAAAGGATACCACCCAATGCACCCGACCTTGTTTTGTACCTTGGACGTATCAATCTCTTCTTGTATGGCACAAGATAGAGCAGCAATCAGTGCATCCAAATCACCAAATGCTACATGCTGATCTACTGCGTCACTGTTGTTTCCTGACATCTGCAGTACCTTTTGAAAAAAGAAATAAGGGACTGATTTTCACTGGAACTTAAACCGTTTCACACGAAATTTTGCCGAAAAGCTACAGCTAAGTTGTGTACAGGGCCGCTTACATGCAGTTTAAGTTTGAATGGTAAACGGTGATTTTCTGTGAAAATAAATAAGGTTTTAATGGTGCAGAGAAGCCCAAGAACAGGCCCACATAGCGGGAGTTTAACCTGGTGTCTGTATAGTAGCGTGTGGCCCCTCCTCCCTTTTACATGGGGGGATACTTTGCCAAAATTTCATGTACTGACACATACTGTGAACCAACCAACTCTCTGGAAAAGGCATTACAAAAGACATGCGGATATTTTAAAAACTCTGATTTCTACTGTCATACTTTTCATGCCAGAGTTCACACAGTGTGCATAAAGTGGTAGTTCAAAGTCAATGATGTATATTTACAGAACTTTTGAAACCTTTTCCAAGTTTCCTTGACCAGAAATTGGCCATTATTGCCCAACAAAGTGTTGATACAATACTTATCTACAGTTGATAATGTTTTTGCTTAAGGGACATTTCCTGAATAACAGTATATTTTAATGTATAATGCAAGTAAACTTTTATGAGTTAAACAAAAACACCGTGTAAATGGCAATTTCCTTCAAAGAATCAACTGGACTAAGAATGTGACACGTACAACAGGACCATACCGACTGTAAATTAGCAAGAGCTGTTGTAAGAGCATCTGTGCACTGATTGACCTTTTGTCTGACCTCTGCAACGTCCTGGCAGCTTCTCTCCTGCAAAGGTCACATGAACTTCATTCGTTTTTGTTTTAAAACATGAAGTTTTAACTAACTGCATGCATACACTTATACTACTAAGTAGAAACAATCATGATGACAATCAAGGGAATTTGAAACTCAGAAATAGCCTAATTCTTCAGCATTCAGAGGTCGGAAAAAACCTGTCAGGTAGTCTAGAACAAGTAGGTTTTCTTGCTGGGCAAATAGCTTTTAAAGCTTACTTACCCAATGGTCAAGGGTCCAGGCGAGTCATTCTTGAACATGGTCATTAACCACGATGAGCAAGAAGTGGCCCCAGGCAAACGAAATGTGACAGCTAGTTTCCAAAAGCTTGAATTTGAGAGTTTTTCAAGCCCTTACATAAGTATTACATACCTTGTCAAAAAAAACATAAAACCGATTACACATACCAGCCACTCCTCATACGCTTCAACTGTCCTCTCGAGGACTCCATCTGAGCTGCTGCAGTTTAGGGCTCCTGAAAGATATTAGATAGAATGTTGATGCCATGTTTAACAGGGTTCACACAAAAAATTTCGACCACTTTTCAAGTACTTTTCAAGGACCACATTAGATTTTCAAGGACCACCTACGAGGAATATAATAATTTCACAGATTGTACAAAAATGCACAGTCTCAGTCTATTCTAATAAGGCTTTAAGGCTTGAACTGTTTGCTTCACCAGATTCTACATTTTCCACATCACCTCTCTTAAATTGATAGTTAATTATTGCATAAAACATGGAGCCTAAATGAGCACTTTGTGTAAATAACCTTTAAATTTTCTGAGCTATGATTCATATTCTGTCTTGGACGACCAAAGGGGATCAAAAACACTTTCCAGGCCACTACATTCAAAAGTTGAAGAAAATTCAAGGACTTTTCAAGACTATGCGAACCCTGAAATAACCCTGCCAAAAGTCACTTTAGGTTAAGTCCACCATTACACATGGTTCATACAGGTTTAATTAACTTTTATTCAAGGACTTTTCCAGGACCCAATAACAAAATCCAAGGAGTTAATTTTCTCAGGCACTCACGTAATTGTGTCTCAAATGATACATTTTGCACATTCATGCCAACAAACCAATACCTGTAAGTGCAAATAACATCCTAAAACCAAAGGATAACAGCTATTTCAGAGATGTGGTTTTGTTTGCTGAGAGGGTTGCTAAAGAATACACTTGGAAATTCCATTAAAGGCACAGTTACTTTGAAAACTTTGAATAGTTGGGTCAGGATAAATGTTTGCAAAGGTTTTCAAGAACAGGTGAGAGCCCCTGGGATGCTACTCTTAACAAACCAGTTAATCGACTTATTTGAATGCTTGTCTCTGATTGTTTTTGTGCCTAATAGGAGGCCAGCAACTATCGCACTGCTTTCGTGATCTTCTTATACAAGGAAGTTTACCTGAAAACTCAACTGTTCGCTATAGATCGCTGTACATGTCTGGGTCACGTAAGAGTGCCTTTTTCGAGAGGAGCTTTCACATGAATCCTGGCGTCTCAAAGAATCGCCATGATACACAAATGTAACAATCCTGTTTCTGGCCTAATACATAAGACATTATTTACCTTTCTGCTCTTTAAGTTGGCCAAGTGAATGCTAAAAGAAGGAAACAAAGCAAGATGTTATTAACTTGACAAATAAACACTGCACATACATATACTTTCCCAGGTAATCCAAAACTACACTGAGCGATGAATAAAACATACATGAAAAAACCTAGGTTATGGTACTTTTGCCAAAAAAAAAACATGCAGAGCATTAAACACTTTTGTTATTTTTTTTTTAATTATTAAGTCAATGTACCTGTAAGGACTGTTCTCTTTCTTGAAGTGGCATCACGTCAACTTCCTTGCGGAACAAGTCAATGGTGTCAAACAACTCTTGTCTGCCTTGGTCTCGCTGTGAGATGAGGTCAGCCATCAGTTCCTAGAGCAATGGGAAGCACCTAGATTTTGAGCCCAGTTTAGACATTACTAGATTAATAACACTTCTTAAAGTTCAGTAGTGCAACTATGACTCTTTTCATGCCAATGACATGGTGGATGTACAAATGTTCAGGACCTAGGGTACATATTAACTCACTTTTTCTTTGCAGTCACATAAACACTGTTGGGCTTCTTGAAGTTTTCTCTCAGTCTCCTTCACCTAGAACAGGTGCAAATTAATTTTTTAAATTAGCATCAATACAAACTGAATAAATTAATGATATAACATTCTAGTTTCTGCCATGATTGAAAACCCAGTGCAAAGTATTTCTTCCTCAGTTGTGGGTATGTTTATAAGGGCTACTGTTTGGAGAGCTTGAAGAACAGTGAAGAACTGCCCATAGTGAATTGGACCATACTTTTAAAGCTTCATCACTCAGCTGCTACAGATGTCCCTTTAGGAATAAGTAAACTACTCAAGTTATTGCAACGGGAAGTTTTGGATGTTTCTATGATCGATTTAACTAAATGTGAAACGATGTTGAACTCCTGACAACTGAGTATTGAAGGGGCTTGGACAACCATGTCAAAATGAGCTGGCAGCTGGCAGTTTCACACTTCCAGTGGAATATCTACCACCTACTCAGTACCAAGGCTTGATAATGTTAAATAAAAACCACACAAGTTTATGCCTTTGCTGCCTACTGCTCTGGTTATCCTGATTACTACTACAAACATTTTGACTGGACTAAAAAAATAAAAACAGCCTTATTCTATTTAAAGTTTGTCCAGGAATCATTTTATAGTATACTTTGTTGACTTTTTCAATAAATAAGCATTAATGGAACGAATGGAGACATTGTAAAAAGCAGTGTCTACTGAAACTGAAAGAGCTCTTCTTTTGAAATAAAGGTTTCTATCTAATCCTGACTACTAATTTCTTTTTACAATTTTTTTTAGTTTCTTTCAGTTAAGAAAACTGAGGCAAAATCATTGAAAATACCATTACGCCCCTCTATGACCAAAAACTAACAATAACAAAATGCAAACTCCATTTTTATCATGAACATGTTAAACAAAACCACTTTGTGGACTTGCTATTGCAAAAGTATTGTTTACTTAAGGAGTGAAATGAACTTTCTATTTACCTGCTGCAGTGATTTTAAGGATTTCAAATCAACTCCGACATTTCTTGTTAACAAAATTGCTTCTCTAATGACATCAGTAGTTTTTCCATGCGCAGGGGCAGCAGCTCTGCATAAGGATGTAAAATAAAGACCATAGGTATAATTAAATCATAAGTCCTTTAATTTTTTTGCACACACCCATGACAAAAGGTTGCAGATGCTGCTGTATGCTTAACAGAAACAATCCAGAAAATCAAGCAAAATCTTAATTTGTGTCAAGAGCTGCAAAATCATTTTTTTGTTGTTCACAGCTTTTAGGTAGACAAGAAACCTCAAGATGCTACTTGTTCCCACTAAAAGCCGATCATTTTAGGGAAAAATAGGAATATCGGATTTCGTTTTAGGGAACACAAACATGGCCTAATTTGTAACCAGGAATACGCTAACATCAACACATGTCCCAGAGTGTACATAATATTTATAACTAAGGTGCATACCTAATTTTTTAAGATCACAAACTTTGCTCACCAACTCCAAACACTGTAATGAAACAAGAATAAATTACTACTTTATAGAGCACCATAGAAGTACTAACTACTTGTATAGCTAAGAATCTTTTGGCTGGCAAGTTAGTGTCGATTTTCTTATTGTATTACCATGCATGTTCAAAAACATTATCTTTGCCAGGCATGAGACATTCTTAAGTTGCATTTTGATGACAGGAGAACACAAGCAAAATGAACTGAGCAACACCCCTGGCAATGAGCGTTATTTTAGCAGAAAGAAACATGATTTTTGATAATATGGCAGGTACCAGATATTGAAATATCTCATTGACTTAGACTGCTCATTCACAAGGATCGCCATTTCTTTGGGTCAGGTAGTCTTAGAAATGTGTACTTCAAAAAAAGCTACAGAGCTGAAGCTGGGATGACATTTTACAGTGTTGAAACATCAACATCACCAGCTGCCTTTTGCACCCAAAATTTAAAATGCTGTGTTGCATTCAATTTATTGGGAAATAAAAATATAAATATTGCATTTTTGGAAGAAGTAAGAGCTGTATGCTTCATGGTTCAATACTACCACAATGTTCCTATATAACACTTGCATTAAACTTCTTAAGTTTTTATTCTCATGCAAATAAAACTCATTTTCAGAAAGGTTTAACATGTAGCCTCGTCTTGAAAGTGAGAGTTTTGGAACTCGGAAGCTAAAAAGTGGCCTATTAAACTCATACTCATAGTTCACTTGTTCACTTTGGTAACAATATCTGCCACCTCAATTCAAGTTTTAGAAGCAAGCGACCAACTCTTCCAAAAATACATTCCAGTGGAAGCCGTACTGTAACTGAAACAAAGTGTCTCACATGCATCAAAACACTGTCACTTGTTGTTTTGACGGTTTTTTGGTGTTGTGGATGATACAATCAAGAACAACCTCAAACAAAAAAGTTAAAATGACAATAGCTACCCACACATAGTTTGTAGAACACAGAAAAATTAACCACAATAAACAATACATTTTGATTTTTAAATGTTCACCGTACCTTGTAGTTCACAGCCTGCTTCATGTTTTCCTTGTCTTTTGCTGCTTGAGCAGAATAAAATTTTTGCACTTCATCGAAAGTCTTCTCCTTTTCCTAATAAGCAAGGACAAGAACTGTAGCGTCACAAACCAATGAAAAAATCAGAGGTAGTCATAACTTTCCTCCAACAAGTTGATGAATTTCTGCTTTTTATGATATGCATGTATGAAATTTAAGTTCCCCTCAGTTACCAGTACACTAACATAGACTGGGGTCAATTTCATAAAACTTTCACAAGTGTGGCTAATGTTTTAGAGTTTGAAAACAGTGGCCACATGAAAAAGTTTTATAAAATCGACCCCTGGTTTTCCTAACGAATTACTGCTTATAACTCCATTACCTGGTAGACCTTTACCATACTTCTCAGAGTCTCATTGTCCTTTCGCATTTCTTCCATTTCTTTGATCATAGCTTCACTGAGGGACGTTCTGCTGGTCAAAGTTTTACTAAAAGTTAAAGAAACAACAACCACAAAACATTGTACATGGCTAAAAAAAAGTCATGACCCCTTGTAATCACTGCAGATATCACATTTCTCAGGAAATAATAGATTTCTTTCATCCACCAAAAAGTGGTGCAATCATGCTCCGTGAGAGTTTCAAACTTTAAAAAATTGTTATTGTTTCACACTACAGCTCAATTTGTAGTGGTAGAGTACTAAATTACATCCATTACACTACTATTACATACTTATGCTAACTGGCAGTTTTCCTCACCTTGGTGATAAGGGTGGTGGGCCATCCTGTGTTAAAGGGAACAAGAGCATATTTACATCATTTAATTGATTCTTTTTTTCTTCAATGGATGGACAGACTAGCATTCTAGATTTCTTTGGCCTGTCAGGCTTACCAGATCATACAACCAAGGGAGTTTACCACTGGTTGGAAAATCAAATGGTTTGCACCATTATAAATTTTTTTATTGGCAAGTTTTCAAAATCATGAGCTGTGATTTGAGCCCATGCAATTTTTCCCCTCTTTTTAGTCTGTTCAGCAGATTTGGATATATTTAGTAGTGGGTTGTTCTCCCACAATGTCAAATTTTATAGAATTATGTTTATGCACAAGAAATGGTAGGCACCCCAGCCATCTTATCTTGGCTAATGATCCACATGTGGTAAGAAGATGATGTGCTCAGGGCCTTGCCTATTAGGCAAGTGAGCATAAACAGTTCTTAACACCCATAAAAATCTACTGTAGTTTTGCTGGACAACTGGCAGAGACATTTTTAAGTTGTGTATACCCACAGCGAATTGCATTACAGTTTCTTACTGTGAAAGGTTTGAACTCAGGAATCATTAACAGAAAACCGACACATACCAACAGATTACTGGACCAGTCATCATACAACCAGACCTCTCACAATGCTACAACTATATGGCCTTTGATGAGATAAGCGCAACAAGTTTGCGACTTGCCTGACAGCCTACAAGACGAGACTGACTGCCTAAACAACACTTAAAGTAAAAACAACTCCAACAAGGACTTTGTTAGATGGAACACTCACAGTAATAAACACTGATTCCAACACTCAGACCAACGTCAACTCTGGCCCTGTTACAACATCGACCATACCGTACATCAGAGACACCTCTGACACCATCGCACTCAGCATGCAAAGAAAGTTGTGACTGATAACTTGAGGCTGGTGGATTTTGCTATCGGGCTGGTGATTTTTGTTCTTACGGGCAAGTGCTATTTTGGGGGGAAATTCAAATTACAGAAGGATTGTAATCAATCCTGCTAATCAAAAAGGGTTTTGGGTCTAGTTGAAATGACTTGTACATGCTAGCTACAGCTTGCCCGAATGGCAGGCTGTAAAACTGACTTTCTTTGCACCCTGCGCACGTATACTACAACCTTACAATATACGTGTTGCATAAAAACTGGGACAGACAGGAAGCAGTATACAAGATCTAATTCTGTCACTGCCAGGCTACTTATATTGGTGAAACCAACAGAAACCTTAGCATGCAACTGAACGAACAGAAACGAGTGATGAGAAATAGTGACGTCAACAATCATATTGCTGAGCACCATTTACGGACAAAACATCAAATCAGCTGGGACTCTGTGACATGTATTATTGACGGAATCAAGCAAAACTAAAGAGAGAACGACTGAACAACTGACGATTTGACCAACAATAAATGACTGTTTCACTGTGACAATAGACAGATCGAAAAGGACCAGTGACATTACAAGTCTTCATAGCCAATAACATCAAGGCTTAACTGACAAATGAACAATAACATCACAACTTAATTGATCAATCAGGTCAATAACTAAAGTTTAATACCATCAACTGACGTGATACAAATCAATTTGACTCTAACGATGACTACCGTACAGTTTGTCGAAACGTCAGTCACTCTCAACAACAACAGTCCTATTGAGGACTACTTTCTGTTTTACCCGGACAATCATGTTTGACCTACTTATGAAACTTGTTACTGAATATTAAGAGCTTCGCAGGACAGACCTTTAAGTGGGCAAGAAATAGAAAGGTCTAGCCTTGTTTATAATAATAGAATTCTTTAACCCCATAATTGACAATGAAAGGTGATCTTTTTGATATTATTATATGTAGACATATATACACAGACCATCATTAGGGACCAGCACATGACCTCACAGGTTTGTGGCATTCAAGACATCAGAAAACCATAGACATTTCCATACAAACATACCTGCTCAGTAAATGTAGCTGTAACTAAACCTTGTTTGACCAACTCATTAGCAATGTTGCCAACCCCATCATCTGAAGTGTCAGTTAGTTCCACAAGGCATGGTTCTGTACAAGACAAGGAGAACCACAAATTAATGTGAAGGGTTTAGTACACTGTACATGTTTTTGTCATGCATGAGAAGCTCATGTACGCGTACTGTATGTGGAACTTGGACGTAAATGTACTCCAACTAGACCACTGTATCAGACAATCTGACAAAGCCAAGACTTGTTAAGGTATGAAATAAGTCTTAAACGTAAGTGGCTACATGAAAAACGAAAATCCAACAGAAGATAAAAAAGGACTTCTCTTTAATCAGTGTGGGTTAAATATTATTCAATTTAAAGGAGAAAGACGCAAACGCCATCTGTGTTCCCCTCGTACAGAGAAAAACAACTCCATGAGCTCTCTTCCTAAAGGGTGTTTAAGCAACAAAGAAATCTTTTACTTGATCAAGGGCATCCTTACCCTACACCAACCATTTTAAGTGTGGCAGGGACCTGTCCTCCTTGTTTCATTGGAGCTCATGGCAGCTGGGTTGCCAGGTTTACAAGCCATAGCACCGGCAACAGTCTTTGTTTAGGAGCTTGCTGCCAGTAATGGAAACTCCTGGATGTCTCATGCAGCAACCCATTTAGCAGTGTACTTGTAACCTGTGCACCTAGCAACAGGTACATGTATTAACATTTGTGCACATACCATCTAATGCCTTTTTTGTTTCCTTTAACTTCACTGTTAGTAGCTTATCAGCAGTGAGGTTGTGTAGTACCTCAACACCCTGCAAGTACAGAAAATGAGTTCCATAACAGTAAGAGACCAGATTCTAGATTATAAGAGTCACTAAAGCTGTCAAAAGAAAGCATAAAAAAGTCTGCATATATACATGTAAGCATATATACATGTATGCCGACCTCTCTCAGGCTTCTATTTCTTTATTTTTAAAACTTAACTGGATTCCCGTTTTTGATCTTATTAAATACAGGAAACTTTTTCTTCTTTTCATCGTACTCCTTAATCCAAATGCTCCTAAATCTCTCAGGAACAGATTTCAATTTCTTTGTGATTCGCGTGGACCTCTGGGCCGTTTTACAAGAGCCTCTCTCTACGACTTAAAGGTGCCATGCCCATGTAGCAACTCTGGGAAACGCACCTTGGCCTATACTGCTACTAAACTTTTTAATGACCTCAGTTCAGACTTAAAAGAGTTTTCTATTTCTTCTTCTCCAGTGATATTTAAATTTCTTCCCTCCTCTCTTAAGTCTAAATTACGAAGTCTGTTTTTCTCACGCCTATCATCGGCCGAGCACTTGGAGGATCTACTGTGCTCGACTTGCCGCTATTCTATTCATTGTCACTGTTTTTCATAGTCCTACTACAACCACTATTACGTCTTTTAATTTATATTTATGTATATATGTATACATGTTCATTTATAGTACATATTTTGCCCCCCTTCATCGATTTATATATTATTCATTACGTGCTTATAGCCTATTCTACTTTAAATATTGTCTCTTTTGTGTATATATATACATTTATAAATTTATTTGTTTTCAGTCTTCTAAATTTATTTATCTATTTATCTATTTTTGTGAGGGCCGTAGGTTAGAAAACTGTAACAGGTTATTGCGCTTCCCTCTTTAAATAAAGTTATTGTATTGTATTGTATTGTAAGTTTACAACTATTATGCTTCACTTTTTGTGGGAAAAATACATTGTATCTTGAGTGAACATACAGTCATTGTATCACAAATTGGGCGATTCCAGAAAATATCCATACCATACCACGGACGGCTTTAAGGATTTCCGAAGGGGAGGGGGGATTCACGATTATGGAATTCTGAAGGCATGGGGGGGGGGTATTTACGATTTGAAATCCGAAGGTATGGGGGAATTCCACAGGTGGGATTTCTGGAGTAGAAAGTGTAGAGTAAGTTCCTGGAAAACGCTATTGTTGTGGACTTTTGTAGTTCGTAAATAAACCACGAACGTATGACCGCGGAAGCAGAAGACAAGCATCGATAGATCAGACACGTGTTTACGCTCATAACTTATAGAAGTGAACAGTAAAACGTTGGTTTCACATTTAACTTGATGAATTTCTTGTCACGTGAATAAAAACTGAAAATGTATCTTTTAATACCGCTTGCAAATTTCTTGTTACTCCCGTCCGATAAACAGTAAAAAACTCGAACCAGTCCCTCACTTCCAAGGAACGCCTGTCAGATTAGAACGCTTTTCGGGCGCACTACATGATGTATAAAAGGACGTAACACGACTCGACGGCATATTTGACCGCCAAAAGATTTTAATAGTCTGTTTGAGCTATTTTCCTTTGTAAACGTCAAAACAGCTCAAGAAAACAAAGAGGAGTAAAATTACCTTAAGTGGTGTTTATTTTTATAGCCAAATTCGGACTTAAAAAGGAGTTTGCACTGCCTGGCAACTAGCATAGGTTTTTCTTGTCACTGAAGAGTAAAGCTTGTCACCTGGCGCCGCTAGATCACAGCCTTGAGGAGGCATAAATTCATGTTCATTTGTTCTTATAGGCGTTGCTAAGTCGAAAATGTACTTCCAAAAAAAAACCGGAAATTCTGAAGGGGAGGGGGGGTTCACGACTATGGAATTCTGAGGGCATGGGGGGTAGCACATTTTGGAATTTCTGAAGGCAAGGGGGGGTTAAAACATGGAAGCCGTCCGTGGTTGGGTATGGATATTTTCTGGAATTGCCCATTGCTTGCTGAACTTATAACAACGTACCCTTTTTCACATAAAAACAATTATAAGGGATTGACATACACGCTTGGCTCAAAATACATGTGTGTTTATACCTTGTCAAACAGTTCACTGTTAGTTGTTGTGACACCATCCAGGCAGTACAATTGAGCAAAGGGAACCAAAGACAGAATGTCGCGGGAAAGGAAGACTATTGATCGCAGACTGATCTCTTCTGTGTTGCCAAAATCCACAAAATGCACTTTTACCTACATTTTATAAACAAGATGAACAAGGTAACAACACAAAACCGTCTTGTCATTCTAAATATATAAAGATAGACTCACAACGTGCAATAATAAAAAAGAATATTGGCAATAGAAATCGTTTTCTGTGTTTGCATAGCCTGATGTAAACATGAGAGAGGGTGTTGAGAGAATTGGAGACAGTTATGTAAACCTGAGACAAAGTTGATAATTGGCAAAAATAATGCATTGGTTGGAGCAAGCTTCTTGTGGTTATCTTTACGCAGATTATTTTTAATCAGCTAAATAACGCTTATTGCCTTACAATGGTAAAATCAAGAAAAGAACATCCTACCACTGTGTTTTACTATGGAAGAAATGGTTTGGCAGCACATCTTCAAATATATTATTTTGATATGTGCTAAAGTATTGTTCCCTGCTTCTTATTCTCATCTAATACAGGGTTGTCAAAATGCGCCGGCGACCGACGCTATCACCGGCTACTCTGAGGTTTTCGCCGGCTGTAAATTGCTGGAGAAAAGGGAAAAATAGAGGATTCAAAAAAAGTTGTAAAGTAGAAAATAGAATAGAAAAAGAAATTGTTTTCATCACATCCTGGATGTTCTTTTTCGTGATTTTGAAACGTGTTTTCTAATCCGCTCCCGATTACTTCTTTCTGCAGCCGTAATATGATACAACAAAGCGAATAAAAATAGCGTTGATGCATGCAACGGGTTTGTTTACATAGTCTTTAAAATAATCCTTTGTTGACAAAGAAGAATAAAAGACACGCGAAAGCTTTCGAGTGGTTTTCGCACTCATCTGGTATGAGTTTGCGTTTGAAATCGAATCAAATGTAATGCAATGTATTAAAGTACCTACTTAACAATGTACATGAAATTGGCTGACAAACATGACGCATTCGAAAACGTTGGTTAATTTATCAGATGTGTAGAACATCATTTTCGTTTTTTTCATGGATTGATGCCAATAAGAGTCGTGAATGATACATGTGGAGAAATGAAATTTGTTGTGATGTATCTTCCAAGGAAAGTTGTCTGAAACTTCATTCTTATACAGAAAATCGCTCGTAAGAAAAGCATTTTTAATTCTACATCAAAGTTTGACTTGCGCACATGCCGATAACACAATGCAACCAAAGGAAACAGATAAAAATTCCCGCTCTTGGTATCCTATTACACTTGCTCAATCCACATGTGGTCTTGGGAAACTTGTATATTCGGAGTTTGTATGAGAAAATGGCTTAAACGACAGTCCTCTCTGGTCAACTTTTTTAGCAAAAGAGCAAGAAGTGAAGGTGAGTTTGTTGACCAACAGTAAGTTTTTTCTTTCCGGTGATTTTACGTCTGTTTTTTCCTTTGCTTTGCATGACGGCGGCATTGCTGACGGTAATTTTGTCACTCTTAATCTGTTATCATTAAAAAAATCTGAGAAATAGTAAACATTATTATTGTAAACAAACAAATATGGACCTAACATGTACTAGGATATGGCATCTAAGAGAATGATGAAATGCGGAATAAAAAAAAAATTGATGATGTTCATTCAAAATACTCAGGATTGTTAGCATTGCTCTCGGGAGAGCCAATTTCAGCTAGCGCGAAAACCTCAAATCCGTTTTGCTTGCGCTGCCCCTGAACCCCGCTGGGGGCCTAGGCGGCTCCCAGACCCCTCGCCTCCTGGGGGCCTCCGGCCCCGAGTGCCGCCTACTCACTTTAATTCTCCGGCTACTTCAAATCATTTTGAAAACCCTGCTAATAGGAGCAGGCCCTAGCTGCTAATACATGTAAGTTGGGTTCTCAATACCCTATGGAAAAGATACATTTGTATAGTGGTCAAAGAAAACAGCCTCACTCAGGAATAAACAATGATGTCACAGGTTTGACCAGTGGCACAAACAAATGGTGGAACCCCTCAGTAACCCCTTATAAGAAGTCTCCAAGTGGCGACTACATTGGTGGAGACATCCAAGTCATGTTTCATTTTCTGGCTGATCAACCTGACAAATCGAGGTGTCACCCTGATGCGTAAGACATACCATGGTACAGTCCAGCAGCAGAAGTAACAAGGGAGCAGCTGGCACAGGCTGCGGGAGGCACTCTCCTCTTGACTTACACTGCCAAGAGGTATCTTCACAGACTCACAGCAGAGCTTAACAGTGACAACACACTGAAACTCTACTTGAAGGAGTGTTCCTGGAGAATCTTTCTGATAATGAGAGGCCAAGGGGATCCTTGGGAGTTTTCTGATGTGTTCTCGGGGAAGTGAAGAAGAGTTTTACAGGTGTTACAAGAGAAAGGGGTTATCAGACCCAGTCAGGGCAACTATGCATCCCTGATCATATCAGTATGCAAGAGGTCTGTACCTCTCTGCCTATGCATGGACTACTACCCCTTTTCGTGAAGAGAAGGGAAGACATGTATCTCTTGTCAAGGACGGATGTCTCACTTGATGTACTTGGCATGGCACCATACTTCTCAGACATTGACCTGTCATCAGTATACTGTAGGGTTGTCAGAAAGTTTTGAAGTAGACAGCTGAGTAGTCAAAGTAAGCGGCCAGTCCACGCATATTTTATTTCAACGACACAATCTGTAAAGAAATACCAAGCAGAGTAGCTGGCTGATACTAAACAGGTAGGCAGCAATTTTTGCTGGCAGCTGACTACTTTTGACGACTCTGATACAGTCAACCAAGTACAGGTAAAACCAGAAGAACAACCCAAGATAGTGTTCACCACCCCAATGGAGCCTGTGTGAGTATATTGGATGCCATTTGGGTTGTGTACTGCACCTGCCATCTCTTAGAGACTGGTGCAGACAATTTATTGCAAAGCCCTCTGTAGATTCTCCTAGTGTACCTGCACGACATCATTCTGTACAGTGACAGAATTGCAGACCACCTAACATGGTTCAAGCAAGTCCTTCAGCCGCTAAGGAGCACGGCCTACAGTGTCAGTTCTTCGAAGTCATGTGAAATATCCAGCAAATGTAGCCGTAGCATTACAACAGCATAATTCAAGAGCACTGAAAGACGCCAGGCTATTCTCAGGGTTCTTCTACTGAGGGTTCGTCTCCAGCTTCACACAGACAGTAGCATCAATCTATCAGCTGGTGGCCAAGATCTACGGGAAGGGTAAGAAGAAAGGCAGTGTAAGTCAGGAGAGAGAGTGCAAGACAGCCTTTGCTGATATACATACTGCCCTCACAAGTTCACCAGTGTTGGTCTCCACCAACTACTCCAAACCATATAGTGTATTGTAAAACTGATGAATCTGATAAAGGGCTAGGAAGCAGGATGGCAAAGGGAGATGAAAAATTACCCTTCCATGAAGTTGGACCTTCTAGCATTAAAGTGGGCTGTAGCAGAGAAATTCCTGGAGTACATGTACCTGCTAGGATCTGAGAAAAGATGCGAGGTCGTGGTGTACACCCACTAACCCACCTACAGTCCAAGAGCAAGCTGAAGGCACTTAAACACAGTGGGCAGCTGAACTAATGAGCTTCAATTTCAAGTAAGAGTACTCAGCTGCCAGACACAACTCCAAGAACAACACTGAAAACAAAGAGGATGCCACAACAGATACTGATGAGAAAACCACTCATGTTGCTGGGAATCGAAGCTCGTCAACATGGCTGATACCATCAGAGAATCTGAGAGAGTGCAGCTGGGATTACTTGAGGATGCTATCTGCGTAGAGTAATGGGAGTGAGGATACCAGCAGACCAACGTGCTCAGCAGGCAACCTCCCTTCCCTACACTCCAAAGGATCAGATTTCTGGATTGCAACAGAAGGATGCAGCAGAAGGAAGACTGAAATATTACCTGGACCTCGAGAAAGAGCCCTACTCAGAAGAAAGGAAGAAAGATACACAAGAAGCCTTACAACTGGTGAGCTACTTGGGCTTCATTGTGGAGAATGATTTCTGCTGTTTAGGACTGTGTGTAAGAGATGACAGCTAATACTACATGTAAGTAATCCACAAAGTTAGTTCCTAAAGGCAGCTCAAACAACTTTGGACACCAGGGGTCAGAAAGAACAAAGCAAGTTGTGTGGCAATAGTGCTTGTGGCCAGGGATGCATGCAGAAGTGAAACACTGGGTTTTGGAGTGGGAGTTATGTGTGGTAGCAAAGGGACCCTATCAAGTGGGCGAGAACTCTCAAAGATACCAAGCCATTTGAAGTTCCGGCCATAGCTATTGTACAACTGGAACCTGTGTACTGTATGATGGGCGAGAGAATGTGTTGGTGCTGAGTGATGTCTTCAACGTTCATGGTAGCAATCCCAATCAGACACTAAAAAGCTGTTAAGGCAGTGTTCTCCCTTAATTTTAGCTCAGCAGGTGAGGGACCATTCATAGCTGGTAAGGCAAAAAATGTGCACCAGAGGTGCACTTTTCTGGGGGCAGGGGGTAGTGGAGTGTGGGACATGGCCCCACCCTTGCTGGGAAATTTAGGAACTAAGTTCTCTGAAACATCATTTCCTCTGCCTCCTGCTCGGGCCCTTCGTTTTTTGCATTCCTATCAAGAGAGAGACATCTTGGTACGAGGCAGTCATTCCCTCATTCAAAGACCTGTTTTTACTCAAATCTGCCGTCCATACATTCATTCATTTCCTTGTGGCATGTGAGAATCGCATCAAATCACAACGTGGGTATTTCTTGAAAGTACTTCTTTAATTTTAGTAAACCTTAAGGCCGTTGCAGGCGTTAAGAAATGTTGCTTCAGGCAGGAAATTTTACCGGTCACCACCTGATAAGGAGAACACTGCTGCGGCCCTCATTCAAGAGTGGTTCATGGTTTATGGAGTGTCCCACAAAGTCCACTGGGACTTGGAGAGATTGTGAGAGATACAACCACACCTTGCATGAGCTGCTGCAAACCCTACCTGCTGAGAAGAGATTGCCTGCGCATCTGAAGGACCTCTGTTATGCATAGAACACAACACCACACTCTACGACTGGCTATTCCCCATTCTATTTTATGTTTGGATGGAACCCTGGCAGCTGATTGACTGGTTGGTAGAACTGGAAGAGACCCAAGGTAAAAGCAGCCAGATTACAGACACCAATGAGGGAAGAGAACCACACATCAGTGAGCAAAGAACCACGGAGAGACTGGCAAAGAAATCTGAGGCTCCCAAAAAGAGGCAAGACAGGCAGAGCAAAACAAAACCATCACCCAATGAGGCTACATTAGTGTAAACATTGAGTGCTTTCCAAAGATCAAACCATATGGAGAGAAACAAGATAGAGGACCATCAAAGCACCCAAGTGTGCATAAGGTGGCCGAGCAATTAGACAAACAAGCCTACTTGAGTGAGTCAGCTGACAAGCATGCCAGTACAAAAGTGAAAAACTGGCATCTGAGCAGCCAAGAACTGAAAAAAAGAGCTAGGAGACTCAGATTTGCTGTTGAACAACAACGCGCAGATGACAACGGCAAATTTCGAATCACCATTGTGTTTACACAATCACCTGCTTTTGAAGCGGAACCTGAGGTTGGAGTTGACGATACAAGAAGTGACAGAGGCTGTGATGAGATAATAGCCAATGAATCAGAAACTGATTATGGACTGTCTGTGAGACCTGTTATGCATTCAACTAGATTAACTCCCAGACATCACACTAACTTTTTCCACTTGCCTGTGTCTGCCATTAGACAGGTATTGTAGTGATTAGCTCTCAAGTCTTGACAGCAAATGGGAAGGTCAGTGTGACAGGCTCACAAGACCCATAATTTGATTGTGCTGTTTATTCAAGCTTCTAAGCTAAATTAATGTAATCACTGATGAAAAACTTAATTTCAAAAGTTCAAAACTAGCGGTCTAAAATTCAATAAAAAACTAGTGGTTCTAGATTGCTGCAAAAGTGGAAAAGAGAACTACATAGAAAACAAGTACAGATACCATCTAAACAGTGTATAACTGGAGCCCTTTAAAACTTATTTTAGCAGTTTTCCCAGCTGATTTGCTTGATTGATATTTTCACTGGATGATAAAATGATCTGTTTCCTACACAGCTAGTGCGTATATGAGCTCGCGTTAAAAACAATATTGCATGAAATCGTGGCTTTTGCTCATTCACAAACAACATTAACTTGTGAATGAAGACACCAAGAAGATTCTGCCCGGGTTAGCAGAGACAATAAATTATCAGAAAAGATCAACAGTTCCTGGAAGTAATCAGGATCATTTTGAAGAATTCCATCCACTCGCAAATATAGAAAAAAAAGTAAATTATTGGTTTGGAGGAGATACCTTATCCTCCCCGACAAGTTCTTTGACTCGACAACGATACCACTTTTTATCCTCTGAGTACACCCCTCCATAAACCTGGGACAAATTAAAAAGAAAGTAACCTATCAGTACAGGCACATGCATGTAATGTATAAGTTAAGTTGGCTATATTAATATCCTGAAATAACCACGCGATAAAGCAATGTGCAAATGAAGCTTCGAAGTCCCTGGAAAATTACATTATTTGCAATGTATACTATGGTTCAAAATTTATATTCTCGGTTTAAATTTTCTTGTTTAGTGTTTCTGGGTATGGAACTGATAAAGAATGAAGTTGAAACAAAGGAAAATAAAACTTCATTCAAGGATAAAGTTGAACCTTAACAATTACCTTGCCAATAAATGGTGTGGACTGTAGAAGGGGCTTGTTCCTGCAGTACACCTGTAGGTCCTCACTCATCTTTTGGATCGATTGTGCTGTTTTATGATCTGCAGTCTTACAACAGAAGTTTGATTTAGTTACCAGATTGAGTTTGTATGATTGGTTGTATCAGTTCCAAGTTCTTGGCACTGTGTTCATGGTAGCCACAGAGCTCCAGTTAGCCACTGGACCTTATGTCTACTACCACCCTCCATCCCTTTAATTTTTTTCCACTTATTTTATCTTCAAAGATTAGTCAGTGTGACAGGTGCTCATTTTGTTAGCTTGGGAAACATTCAAGGCACCCACCCTCCACTGGGCAATGCAATGTTCACTGAACAGTAACAACTTCTATATGGGTGGATTTATAAAAGGAAGGCAAGTACTAGTTAAAATGGTAAGTCTGCATTCCATCTTGAAGTGTGCGAACAAAATTGATTAATGATTATGAATACTAATTATTCTTGATAGATACATATGTAAAACATTTGTATTAGCCTAGCTACACTGCACGATGTACTTTACCTGGGCCCAAAACATGACAGGACTTTCAACATGGGTAACAAACACTTGCTCCTGGAAAATCAGCCAAATCTCTTTATTTTCCAACTTTAACATGCAAGTAAATAATATATTATGCAAGCTGCAAAACTGGATTCGTCTGTGACTGAAAGCTATGCAACAATAACAAAACAGCTGGACAAATTTACATGTGGCACATCTGTATATTAAATGAAAGCATAAGAGTATGTGAATAAATTGCCTTACTGATTAGTGGTGGTTGCAACATCTACATGTACGTAGACATGAAATTGGCATAATCTTGCCATCATTAAAAATTGATTAAACCCTTTCACTCCTAGACCGCATTATAGAGATCAGAGAATACTAGTTTTAGAGGGTGGTAACCTCACTGAGCTGTGTGATGGGAAGGGCAACAGACAGACCACCCTCTGTGTGGCCGTGGTTGTTATTGAAATCTGAGCATCGATCGTTTGTACTTATAGAAGAAATTCAGAGGAATATTACCGCAGCTTCAATTTGCCCCTAAATACAAAAAATAAATCTAAACATTTAATTCTTCAATAAGAGTTTAAAAGATACATGTATGTTAACTGAGCAACATGTCATATTTTCCTGCTGTCCCAAGCTGTTTAAAGCGTTA